ACATCTAAATGTAGAAGTAACTCAATTGTCCATCACCAGTATAGATATATAAGGGAATGTTATTTGTCCTTAGAAAAGAAGAAAATTCTAACATATTCTACAATATGAATCTACCTTGAGACCGTTATGCAAAATGAAACAAGCAAGTCACAAAGACAAATACCATATGACTGCTTACAGAGGTACTCAGAGTAGTTAAAGCCATAGAGACTACAAGTAGAATTGTAAGGGGCCAAGGGAAGGGAAGAGGGGGGAGTTATTGTTTAATGGGTATAGTGCTTCAGTTTTATGGGACAAAAGGAGTTATGGAGATGGATATTGGGATGATAGTTACACAAAATTATGAATGCTTTTAATACAACTATAATATACATATAGACATGGTTAAGATGGTTACTTTTTATGTATTTTAAACTGTTATTTACAATTAAAAATGGGGGAGGGAGAATTCACAGAGGAGGGAGAAAAGGAAATACCTGTTGCAAACTTCTATACAAACTGGTGTGATTTATTTCAAGGCAGACTACAGCAAGTTAAAAACGCATACCTTGAATCACAGAGCAATGACGAAATAGCAGTATGGCTAGTAAGGTAACAGAGGAAGGAAAATGGAATACTAAAAGATACGAAATTGAAAGGGTGGCCAGAGAAGAAGAAAAAGAAAACAAAAGGTTATTGGAACAAAAAGAATATAGTAAAACAGACAAACCCAAGCATATTTGCATTACATGTAAATGGTCCAACCCTCCAATTAAAGAGTAGAAATAGGGACAGGCTTTGCAGCTTATTGGGTTAAGCCACCCCTTGAGACTCCTACATCCCATTCCAGTGCCTGGGTTTAAGCCTTGCTGCTGCCTCTGACTCCACTCCAGCTTCCCGCTGCTGAAGTACCTGACAGGGAGCTGATGACTGCCCAAGTACTTGGGTTCTTGTCTTCCATGTGGGAGACTCAGATGGATATCCTGGCTCCTGGCTTCGGTCTGGTTCTTCCCTGGCTGTTGCAAGCAGCAGATGGAAGGCCTCATTCTCTGTCACTCTGTCTTTCAAATAAACAGAACCGTAAAACAGAAGGGAGAAATAGGGAGTGGGCTTTTAATGTAGCAGTTAAGACACCAGTTTGGATGTCACATTCTGTAACTGAAGAGTATGGATTCAAGACCTGGCTCTGCTCCCCATTCCAGCTGCTTACTAACGTGCACTGTGGTAGGAGACAGCAGATGATGTTTCATGTGGCTGTGTCCCTGCTACTCATGTGGCAGACCACACTGAGTTCCATGCTCCTGGCCACAACCTGGCCCAGCTCCAGCCATTGCACACATTTGGGGAGTGAGCCAGTGGATAGGAGTTCCCTCTTTGTTTCTCTGCCTCTCAAAGTTTCTCTCTTTAAAGGAAGGAATAGAAAAAGAAATAGAATCAGAATAAAGATCCAACTGTATTTTTTTTTTTTTGGTCCAAATACGAGACAGCTGAAAACACAAAAGATAGGTTAAAAGAATAGAAAATATGAGTACACATGGTAAGAAGCCTGGAATGGGTTTATTACTATCAAAGCAACTTCAAGTCAAGAAATACAGGACAGAGAAATGTCATTTGAGGGAAGGGTGAATCATTAAGACCGAACCATCCTGAATTCTACATAGTGCCCCAAATAAAGCAAAATCCAATAGAACAAAAGGTGAGGTAGATGAATCCACAATTATACTTGGAGAGATTAACACTCCTTATTCAGTAATAGAAGTAGATAGAAAATCAGTCAAGATTTCAACAACGTGAACTGATCTAACTTACTTCTACACACAACTATACCTAATGGGGTAAAATACATACTCTTTTCAAGCACTCATAAAACGCTCCTTAATCTAACCAGTCTGGTCCATAAAACAAGACTCAACAAATGTAAGAGGATCAAATCTCCATTATGGAAATACATTTAAAAGTTACAAAATGACATCTGGAAAATGCCCACATATTTTACAAAGCAAGCATACTTTACAAGTGCTCTTCAAAAAGTTCATGAAAAATGAGTATAAAAAAACCTATGGATTTCAAAATTGTTTTGCACCAAAATAAATTTATCTTTTTAATTCCATGTTTCCATGATTTTTTGAAGTATCTAATATATAATTCATGATTCAAAGAAACCACAGGAAAATCAGAAAATGTTTTAAACTAAGTGATAATGAAAACATCAACATTTGTGGGATGTAGTTAATGCCTGCTATATAAGGAAATATAGAATTTTGAATATTTATATCAGAAAGGCCTAACATCAGCTATCAAAATTTTAATCCTTAGAAACTAGCAAATCTAACCCAAAATAAACTGAAGGAATAAAATACAGCAATTATGAAATAAAAAATGGACACACAAGAAGAAAACTCTTAGAAGTGGAGTGAGTTCTTAAAGAGCTTAATGACACAATACCTCTAGTTCAACTAATCAAAGATAGAAGCCATGTAGGAAAGGAAAAAATTTCTCTATTCCTCCTATATTCGTGCCTGGTCTATGTTAACCAAACATGGGTTAATGGAGGAAGACATACAGATTTAACATGAAGACACTCCAAAAAGTTTGCGAAGGGGCATTTGGTGCAGCAGTTAAATCCCAGCCTGGGATGGCAGCTGCCATATGGGACTTTGTTTCCAATCCAGCTTCCCGCTAATGCTATCCTTGTGGGAGACCCAGGTTCTGAATTCCTGGCTCCTGTCTTCAGAACCAACAGGAGGAAGATCTCTACCACTCTGCCTTTTAAGTAAGTAAACCTGTAAAAATATTTTTTCCTATTTGAAAGGCAGACAGACAGATCTCCTATGCACTGGCTAACTCTCAAAACGCCTGTAACAAGCTGGGGCTATGGCAGGCTGAAGCCAGGAACCATGAACCCTACCCAGGTCTTCCATGTAGACGGCAGGGACTCAAACATTCAAGCCTTCACCTGCTGCTTCCCAGGCCGGTGCATTAGCAAAGGGCTGATTCCGAAGCAGAATACTCAGGACTCCAACTGGCACTCTGATGTGAGATGCAGGCATCCCAAGTGGTGGCTTAACTCACTGCACCACAACACCAGACCCAGGAAAAAAGTTTTTTAATCATAATACTGCATAGAATTTGAGCCTCAACCCTCTTCTTCCTATGGAACCTCCAAGAAAGAATTCTAATTAATGGACAAAACGCCCATCTCCATGACTAGACCATGAAACTGAGTAATGGCAGTGGAAGAGTTTCTGCTATGACCAGAAGTCAAAAGCTTTCAAGATAACCAGTTCTGCCACACACCTTGTGATGTAAAAAGAGCAACAGGCTGTCTTCCTTTTGAGAGGTATACATTTTTTTAAAAAAGATTTATTTATTTATTTGAAAAGTGGACTTACAAAGGAGGAGAGAGATCTTCCATCCTCTGGCTCACTCCCCACATGGCCGCCCACAGCCAGGACTTGGGCTAGGTCTAAGCCAGGAGCCAGGAGCTTCATCTCTCCGAAGTGGGTGGCTGGGGATCAAGCACTTGGGCCGATCTCCATTACTTTCCCGGGTGCAATAGCAGGGAGCTGGATTGGAAGTGGAGCATCCAGGACTTGGACCAGCACCCATGAGATAGTGGCATCACAGGCAGTGGCTTAATTTGCTGTATCACAATGCCAGCCCGGGGAGGTATAAATTCTTTTTGGAAACCACAGCAAGGGCCAAAGAGAAGGAGGCACTGAACAGGCATCTACATGCAGTAGGAGCACCACACAGATGTTTGGCCTCCAGCAGCTGACTGCCTTCTAACACTCATGCCTAGAATGCTTTAGGTACAAGTGCCTCTCCAGAATAGGTAGTGGAACTTGCTGATTGAAGAGCTGAGGTTCAGAAGACAGTAATACTGAATGAGTTAAGACACACCTTGACAATGAATTAGAATGTAAGAGATCAAGATCTAGATCTCAATCCATGTCATTTTCCCTCCACTTTTTGCCATCCAGTTTCTCAAATTGTGCACTAGAGCTTTTTACACTTTGGCATTTCCTCTTGAGCTTGGTCATTAGCCAGCTGTTTAAAAATGAGTAGCTTACCACAGCTTCTGTTGTACAGCAAATACAGGCCAGGAGAAGACTGGTCTGTCCATGATGATTAAATCTGAATTTTCAAATGGAAATTTCAAGTAGAAAATTTTCCAGGCATATGGGCAGGAGGATTGTGCAGCTTCATTAACAGTCTAAGTGGACTGAACCAGAACTCTGAATTAAATGTACAGAATCAATGTAAACCATACAGAAGGAAAAGAATTAACATTTAAAAGGACCGCCTAAACTTAGCTGCAAACCTACCTGGGCAAAGATGGGCCCAAAACAAAAGGCAGTGTTCACTCTGTTCTTAAAACCACCTTTAACTCCGGCAAATCAACCACAGTTCTGCCTTCCCCTTGCTTAAATGGGAACAACATAACTTGTAAGGTTTTTGTCTTCCATCCAGGGAAAAGGAGTCAGCAGAGCCCAGCTAGGTTCACTTATTTGAAAGCACCTGCTAAGGAAAGATGTTCTATCATTTGGTTTCCATTCAATCCCATTACTTGAGTTCAACCACTGCAAACAAGAGCTGCCTGCCTCCTTTCTTATCAAACCCGGAAACTTAAGACTCACACAGGAGTCTAAGGTCTCTTCTGTTTTACCACGATTCGATTTTACCTTGTGGAAAAAGTGTCCTATCCTACTGGGCTCAGAGACCAACAGGATGGGTTTGCTCAGAGTGCACACTAGGATTCTTTATAGGAGTTTATGAAAACAAGAGTAGGCTTGTTTTCAAGACGCCAGACCATTTCTTCATTTTCTGCTCCCTGTCACAGATACTGTCAGGGTTGAACTAGGTCAAAGTCCTTCTCAGACCTCTCTTCCCAGGGCAGTATTTGTGTGAAATGTAAACAACGCTGGCTCTTACTGGATCTGGAACACAGCAGTAGTATTTCTATCACAGCAAAGTACAACCATCTACTGTTCTGATTTCCCATTGAAAAGAAACGACACTTTTATTTTTCCATGGTTTTATTATAAAAATCAACATTTCATTTGTTACAATTCAGCTTACTGTAATAATCAAAAAGGGAATTTATACAAGGTGTTTTTATACAGTTTATAATTAAAGCACTTATTTTACAAAAAGGGGGAAGTGAATAAGCGGATGAGGGCTGACCAAATGTTGGTCATTATAATATAAATACATCCTTGCAAAGCACATCGTACCCAAGTCGTACCCAAGTCGATGGACAAGAAACACCAGTTGACTTTAAGACAATGACGAAGATTAAAGCTTAAGAAAAAATTTTTAAAACATAAAGGATAAACATCTGAAAGCAGCACCAGATCCTTCACTTGCAAATAAGGCCAGTCCAGTTTAAGCTTCTGCGTATCCTCTTCACACGTGAAAACTTAACCCAGACACTGAGCTTCATGTAATATTGGATTTACTCATTTTTTTCTGCTTTTTGTTCTAATAGCCATATTTATCCATTGTTATAAACAGACCTATATCTACACAGATATACATCTCTCCAACCCCCATCCTGCTTTAACATGATTAAAAACAAAATGGACAGTTAAGCAAAAGCATGTTTGTAATTCTTTGGTGTTAACTTTTGGGCAAGCCTTAAGTGATGGTGGGAATTTTTTTAAAGATTTATTTATTTACTTGAAAAGCAGAGAGTTAGAGATAGAGACAAAGAGAGAGAGGGAGGAAGAGAGAGGGAGAGGGAGAAGGAGAGAAGGAAAGGGGGAGGGAGGGAGCACACTCCCATCATTTATCGTCTTCCCAGGCCCATTAGCCGGGATGCTGGACAGGGGCAGTCAGGACTTGAACTGGCTCCTGTTCGGGATGCTGGCATCCAGAGCAGCCACTTGACCCAGTTGGGCACAGTGCCAGGCCTGCCGGTGGGAGATCTCAGGGTGAGTTTACATTAGATCACACACCACTTCTAAGTACAAGGAATCCCTTGCCTCAACTGAAGGAAGGAGGATGAGGGTCGAGTTATTAATTTAATTCCAAGCCATCAAGATTGATCTAAGACTCTGTCTCCCCCTCTATGCAGGCCTAACTAATGAGACATGGAATCGCGGGAAGAGAAATATCATGAGGACCAGAGTCACAATGCTTGTAATTTAATTTTTTAAAATTATAAATGTCTAATTTATACAAAGTTCAAATCCCCCTACTCTAAAACTGTGAGAAATTCAAAAGTTAAATTTGAGACTATTAGGAATAAGACATCCCTAAAGCCAGAAACTACACGTATCCTGGTTGATTTTCTCAGACCATCTATTACTTCTCTTGGCTGACTTCACGCTTGGGATATGGAAATGAACTTGCATTTATACTTCCTTCAGTAAGTCAGTCCATGTGTACACTGAGAGCATCACTCCTGTTACACTGCACACAAACTGTAGATGCCACATTGAGACTGAGGCACTGTACATGCGCTAAAAGCATGGCATACATGTTGAGTGTGAAAAGCCCAATGCTTCCATTTCTCAATCTTGTTGGATGTGTAAAGGTAACCAATATGCAGCTCCTATGGCATGCACATCAGTAAAGTGGCAAGTTTTTCCCTGCAAGAAATCAATTTAAAATGCTGTAATTTCTAAGAATGTAATCTAGGCATAATAGACAGGAAGGCAGCAGTAGCCCATCTGTTACAAAGAAGCAAACTTACTCAAGGCAAGCCTCTTTATAATTTTCTTTGAAACTCCTCGTTATCAGCCTACATAAACTTATTCATTAACAGGCTAGGTCGGCTACAGCTACTAACTCTACGGAAAGTATTCTTCATGAATGGGCCTTTACACACAACAAAAAGATGTTCCCCAAACACTGACTGCTAACTAAGAAAAGATGGTGGTTATTTTTGACATCTTCAAGATCAAATTGTCCTCAAATGAAATGTTTTTACTTTAGGGTATTTTTACATGATGAAACAAATACAATTCTAATCATCTTAAAAATTTATTGCCCAAAGACATTTTCTCAAATTGGTCCACATTAGATGAAAATATACTTTAATGAAAATCTTCATTATAAATAGCTATCACCTCTCTAGAATAGTGGTTCTCAAATTTTATTAAAGGTTATCTTCTTGTTGATACTGCACAAAATATTTTCATATTAAAATTAACTATGTAATTTTCTTAAATAAGCAGTCTGGTAAAACAGACAACATCTTGTGGTAAGCTAGTATAGAGCAATGGCACCAAGTACCCAAGGCATAATAAAATTTCATGGAAGAAGAAGTGCCATTATCGCACTTAACCAACTTAGGCTATATAACCACCAAGTCCAGTGTAGGATGTGATGCTAAACTTCATTCCTCAGATCATTTTAATCACATCACTAAGAGGGCATACTTTAAGAGGCAAGTTAAAGAAAAAAAAAAAAAAACTTAAAAAAAAGTATCTAATGACTCCCCCCCCCCCCCCCCCCCCCCATTTCCTCCTTTGGATAATGAACCTAGCAAAATACTAAAATTAAAACTTTTTTTCAATTTCTGATTTGTATTCTTATTTTTTCTCCTCCTCAGTTTTCCCAATTAAAGCTCTTGCTTAATAAAATTTACTTAAGCTTAACTGTCCATCGTAACCTGAGGGTCAATGAAACTTTCCCGAATTAGACAATTCTCTCATTAAAGAGTATGCTTAGAAATACCAAAAATCCATCTCAACTACCCCAGAAAGAGGATACTAAGATTAAGCTGAACTGCCTTCAAATAATTTCAAACAAATTGGCACACAAATTAGTATTTTGCAAGAAGAGGCCATTGCCATCGCAGTACAAGCACTTGGACTGAGACAAAACAAGGCAATATTCTTCTTAGTTTATTATAGTGCAAGTTTCCACATGGGAAGCCCACCAGATAAAGATGCACGTTAAAAAATGTAAACATATAGAATTCTCAAATTCTAATTGATACCCAGTTATTGCTAACCTTTCCATCTTCATTTAAACATCAAGTGTTCCCATGTGTCACAGAATGCAAGTTTAGTGTCCAATCTTAGACTGGGAGCACTTTGTTCCATTAACAGTAAGAGTTAATGCTGATGGATGACCATTTAGTCATATGCAAAATCAGTGCACCTGATCATTCTCATAAGCTGTCCACAACAATCTGAGCATTATTCTGAAACCATATTTTTTTCTTTAAGAAGTTTATTTAGATATTTTTTGAGTGGCTTGAAACATTACTTCATCCCTGCCAAAAATTCTGAATCCTTTCTTTTGTTATTTTCTCTTGCAAGTCAGAGAGGCCCTGACAAGACAGTATTAAAAACAAAAACCAAAGTCATTTCATAACTAACTGACCAGCACCTGTTTAGGTCAAAGTACATCAGTTTGAAAACACATTCAGTTTTAGCAGAGAAGTGCCAGACATGTGTTAAAAGCAAGAGACTAACTTCTGGCAAGGAGGCAGAGCAGGCTAGAATTGCTGCATGGGTCATCCCTGGAAGCTTAAGATGTGGCAGCCCCAGTACTGTACATGACAGCAGGTCAGGCAGACGGAGTGAGACTTCCATATTCCCCTGCTCCCAAGTTCTGACAGCTGAGACGTTAATAGTTGGCCTTCTTATTTACTCCCCAGATGATTGTTAAATTACTTAGTTCATAATGGAATAAGACGGAACACACATAAAAACATAATGATTATAAGAATAATTTGTGGATAATTTGAAAACAACCTTACATTCACAGTGGATAACAGGAAGATATTAAACTCATGTCACACATCAGAAGAGGTACATATGTAGACATCATTCTGAGAAAAAATTGGCCTAAAGAGCACGAAAATGGCACAAACAGTTAATATAGGGAAAACCCTAATGACAAAAAATTTTATTTTTAAATAGATTGTCTCTAACCAGAACATATTTAAATGTTTTACTCAAAAAAACATATAAAAGTGATTTCATATTGTGATATTATATGATGAAAGTACTGCAAGGATATATGATTAATTTACAACAAAAACATAATGGTTAAATTTGCAATTCTTAAACACTGTCTATATGTTGTAAGGAGACATTTTAATGAATGTTAAAATGACCTTGAAGTAAAGAAAAGAAATAATATGTCTAATCTTTGATCATTATGCAAAAACATCAGTCAATGAAGAGCTAAACCTAGTGGGGAATGGAGCTAGTAGAAATATTAAAATCAAACTTTGATTTAGACAATTCCATTTCTTTAATTGCTGGAATACATCATGGTATTTTGGCAAAAATGGCCTACAAAGTTGCTGGGGGAGGCAGCCGAGTGAAAGCACGACTTTGTGGGGGAGGAGCAGGCTCCATGGCAGGGACAGAAGACCTGCACACACGTGGCCCTGCAGCATCTGCCCAGACAGCTGGTCTCACCTCACAACAGCAACACCAGAAGGGATTTTGCAAATATCTATTTCCTCACAAAAATTCAGTTGGATTCCGAGAGAAAACAAAGCCCTTTGTCCAAGGTTAGTATCCCCCCGCCCCCCTTCATGATGTCTTCACTTGTTGGCCCTCGAATGTTAGTTAACATGAAGGCTATTTGGCTTCTTCCAAGTATCTATGGTTTGCTGCTCTGAGATGGACTTAATTGTCGTCGTCATCTTTTTTTTTCATTTTTGGTATCAATAAAGCCCAGACATTCCTGGTCAGAGATGCCTTTATTATTCCTGTTTCCTTTGTACTCAGTCACTTCACTGGGTTTAAGGCATGCTTTGTGTATTTAGTTTGCAAAAATAAAATTTTTAGTACAAATTTATTTTTTATACAAACTTTTATGGCACAAGCAGCAAATCTGCTGTTTTAAGAAAATATATAAATATCCTTTTCTTCTGTACAAATATCTCCAGTATCCCCTAGCCCATTTTATAATTTTAACTGTACAAGGTCTGCCTCAGCCTTCTCTAACAGCCCCCTCCCCCCCAGATCTCAACCACACTGTATTTACATGTTTGCGGTGGAGGCAGTCAGAGGAGGAGGGCCCCTCCTCAGGAGGAGTCCGTGCAGGGCGAGGGCGGCGGCGGGTAGAGGTGATGCGAGTAGCTCCTCTCTGTGTACGGGGAAGGAGGGCAGCTTTCATAGTTCTCCTCTGCCGACAAGTATTGGCTTCGAGGTGTGGGAGGTGGGGGCACAGGTTCTGAGTCATAGTTTAAGTCACTGGTATAGCCCTTGGCTGTTGCCACTGAGGTCATTCTCCGGCTAGGAGCATAGTCACTGTCACAGACATCTGTGCTGCAGGGTGTGGTGGGAGGTGCAAAGTGCCGGTAACTATATGGCCTGTAGCTGGGACGGGAAGGAAATAAAGAGAAGCAGAGTTAGTTTCACAGCAAAATGATTTTCCTCATCAGAATTCAGAGACATCAGAGGTAAACTTCACTTCGAAAACAACACGCTACTGCAATTTAAATTTGCGCAGATCCAGAGGCAATTTCCAATGGGAGACTGGACGAAGGAGACAGCACACATCTTCATATTTGGCAAATAAATGTCATTAGCGGCAAGTGCAATGGACAAGATGGAGAAGCAGAGGTGAACTCGATCCAGTCTCTGGATGTGCTCCTGTCTCTTCAAGTTAAACTGTACCACAGAATGGAAGCTATACAACGGTCACCTCTGGAAAACCTTTGTATACCTTTTGCATTTACTTAATGGAGTAGACCTTACCAATTTCTGCAGTTTTATGGCCCATGAGAAGGATAGGTCTTCGTGTGTTTTATACTACCCAAACATGTTAACATTCTCTCAACGTTCTGATGCATGAAGACTTTGTTTCTTTAAAACCCAAACACCATACAACCCAGGCTGAGTTTTTACGGACAGCTATGAGCCACACCTACCCCATTACACTGTTGCTGCTAGCAAGAGGACACCGCTGTGGTCTGAGGGGAACAGTTTTGATTCCTTGCACATAGATAAATATACAGTCAAAAGGGCAGCTTTAACTGAACATCAAAATGAGTAATTTTATGTACCCATTTAAGGTCAGTGAATTTTCCAATATATTTCAGAAAAGCCTAACTTACTTCTTATACTTATCTTTTCAACTAATCTACAGTTGTTAAGTTCATAGCATAGCTAACTCAAGAAAAATGAATTGGAAAGAGAGCAGCATACCAGTGAAAGTAAGACTTGATCTTAGTGCTGCCTCTGCTCTCATTCTTACTTCTATTTGCAACTTCTCCTATCTCTTTTTTCTAAATATGGAAAATCTTATTTCATATTTATCCCCAAGATTTATTCATAAGCTTTCTCATCAAAATGGCTGCAAGAGAAGGGGCAAGAACAAGTATACAGCTGATAAAAACAATGCACGAAGTGTCTGGTGAGACAAAGCACCACAGATAATATCCCTGGACACAAACCATCTGACATCACCTGGGCTTTGCCTCAAAAGAAACAGCTGCCAGAAGTGCCCAAGTTCCCAGACCTGCCGAGCAGGCTCTCACAGGCTTTTACTGTCAATATTGACATGATTTCATGGTGTTTTGTTTCATTTGGTCTTATCTTTCCATACAATCAAGTATGAAGCCTTTGTGAAATTTCCTGACTCAACATTTAAAACACCAAACACATTTTCACGAGGGGGAAAAAAAAAAAGAAAAGAAAAAAAGGAAAAGTAAGAAAAGAAAGCAGAATGAACAGATTCTTTTAAAGCCCTGATTTAAACAAAAACCTCAACAGATGACAAAAAATTGACTCCATAATAAACAGAAATTGGCCTTGACTTGAGACATGGAAATTGGCTAAATAAAAATTGTTTTCGGTGCAATTATGCTTATTTTGATCAAACAGTGTTTTAGAATATTTGATTAAAGAAATTAATTTTCAAAAATAAAATTATAGGTCATTCCAATTTTCAGACTCCTACTTTTCTGTTTTGGCTTCTTAGCTAATTATTTTTTAATGATTTCAATGTGTATTGAATGCAGCTTTTTTTTTTTTTTTAAGATTTTTACTTATTTGTTTAAAAGTCAGAGTCAGAGAGAGAGAGGAGAGAGAAGAGAGAGGAGGAGAGGAGAGAGAGGAGAGAGGGAGAAAGGGAGAAAGGGAGATAGGGAGAGAGGGAGAGAGGGAGAGAGGGAGAGACGGAGAGAGGGAGAGAGGGAGAGAAATCGATCTTCCATCCACTGGTTCACTCCCCAAATGGCTGCAACGGCTGCAACTGGGCCAGGCCAAAGCCAGGAGCCTCTTTCATGTCTCCCATGTGGGTATAAGGGCCCACACACTTGGGCCACCTTCTGTTGCTTTCCCAGGCACATTAGCAGGGAGCTGTATCAGAAGAAGTGCAGCCGGGACTCAAGCTGGTGTCTATATGGGATGCTGGAGCTCATGTGCCAGCCCCAGCTTTATTTTAACTTCTTTTTTTGAAAGGCAGAGAGGGGCTGGGTGGGGAGAAGAGGGAAGAAATAAAGAAAGGGAAGAAGGGAAAGGAAGGGAGGGAGGGAGGGAGGGAGGGAGGGAGGGAGGGAGAAGGGGAGAGATATTTTCCATCAGCTGGTTAGCTGGTTTGTCCCTCAAATGAACAAAACAGCAGGGCTGGGTCAGGCCAAAGCCAGAAGCCTGGAACTCAATTTATCTCCAATATGGATTGCAGATACTTAAGCCATCAATACTGCCTCCTAGCGCCTGCATTAGCAGGAAGCTGGATTGGAAGAGGAGCGGGGATTGAAATCTAGGTACTCCAGTAAGGGATGTGATGCCTCAGGCAACGACTTAACTACTACACCAAATGTCCACCCCAGTTTTGGCTTTTTAAAACAAACCTGTGTTAAGGAAAGCTACATTACAATAAATCACAAAAATAACCAGAGCCAACCCTTTGTCAAATATGGTCTTATCTAAACAGAAATAACAACACTGAGCGAGATACTTCAAGTAGTTTCCAGTGCAATTCCACACATGCATAAAGTTTTATCAGATCCATCTGTCTGACATGCCAGGAAATACCTTGTCTAGAAGGTAACAGGCACTCGAGGGATGCCACAACTACGGGGCACTCAGTGATCGACAGAGAACACCCAGCTGCTGGCTTCCTGCTGGCCTTTCAGATAAGATGGAAGAATAGGCTGACACAGTCACACTTGACCTACTCAGCACATTCTTTAGCTTCACAAATTAGCACAGAGGCACAGTTTCTCCTCTCTAGGCTTATAAACACACTTCATTGATTTTAATTATAGTCTAGATCTATTCCATGCAACTACATGAGACATCTTTTACTCTAGACAGTAACAGCAATTTAACCACAGGCTGACCTTAAACTTGTTCAATGTTTCTCAAAATCTGTGCTCTTAATACTCATGCTATTTTAAGAGCTTCTGTGACTCCCAGAACAGTAGTGTTAACCCAGTGTTCTAGTCCTAGAGTATTAATCAAACTTACCCTCAACTATAATCTACTTTGAAATCACTTTGGTGATTAAAATACTGCTGAAGCCTGAGGCTCTACTTATTTCCTCTAAAAGCCAGCATTGATGGCTCTACTTCTTTTCTTTTTTTATTTACTTATTTGAAGGCAGAGTTAGAGAGAGCAGAGAGAGAGTGAGAGAGGTCTTCTATCCACTGGTTCACTCCCTAGATGGCCGCAACGGCCAGAGCTGCACTAATCTGAAGCCAGGAGCCAGGATTTTCTTCTGGGTCTCCCACGTGGGTGCAGGGGCCCAAGGACTTGGGCTATCTTCCAATGTTTTCCCAGGCCATAGCAGAGAGCTGGATTGAAGTGAATCAGTTGGGACTCGAACCAGCACCCATATGGGATACTGGCACTGCAGGCAGTGGCTTTACCTGCTATGCCACAGCGCTGGTCCCATTGGTGGCTCTCTTTAAAAACAAGCATAATGCCTTGAAAGAAAAAGATCTGCAGTGGGGCAATGTCAGCATTACCAATACAAGATGCCTATTCTCTATTTGATGGTCATCATCCACTCATTTGGGAGTATAGCAAACCCCAAACGAGAATATTTCTTCCTGCTAAAAAGTATTTCAACTTATATCAGAGGAAGGTGTATGTATTACCTGTATGACCTATGAGTAGAAGGACTGTTGGAAGAATAACCAAATTCCATGGTATAATGTGATCGCTCTGTGGCTGGGGATGGAGGGGGGTTCAAAATCTAAAAGAAAAACAAAATTAAAACATTAAAATAACAACAGTCTATCCAAGACAAGGACTACTAGACTTTCTTTCCACTTCACTTCCTTCATCTCTACTCCTATGCCCTTTCATTACACTATTAGCACAATCCTCCTTTGAAAAGAACCAGCCTCAAATAGCACTGTAGGACTGTAGCTTTCTCTTCCCTAGGCCAATATCATGATGGCTAAAGAGCTTAAAGGGATGAAAAGAAAATCTGGAATCTATAAGTCACTCATATAAGTTTAGCAACGCTAGGTTTTGATTTTTTAATTATAGATTTCTTAAAAATTACTGATTTAAAAGAAATTCCAAGTTTGCTTCTCTTTTGTGAAATCATGAAACACAAGTCCTAAATCTTTCAAGAAGTACCACTTAGTGGTTCTACTTTTACATCAAATGTGAAATTAGTGCCCAGTGTACTCAAGCACACTGATTATTATTTAAAAGACTTACAAGCTTAGTGCTAACTTCTCCTTTAAGCCTTATACAAGGGGGCTCCAAAAAGTTCACAGAAAATTTATTCTGAAAAAACCATGCATAGGTTTCAAATTTTTTGCATCAAAACAAACTTATCTATTCTCTTATTGGGGGTAAAGAGAGAGAGAGGACAGAGTGCAGACATGCGTGAGTATGTGCATGTGTACACACAGACCCAAACCCACTGCCCACTCCCCAAATGCCAACAATGGCTGGGGCTAATGCCAAGAGCTAGGAACTCAGTAACTCAATCCAGGTCTCCACATGGGTTCAAGGAACCCAATCACTTGAGCCATTTCTGCCACCCAGGTGTTGCATTAGCAGGAAGCTGGGTGTCAAATCCAGGTAGTTTCACGTTGAACACAGATGAGTTAACTGCTAGGCTACATTCCCATGCCTACACTTATCTTTTTTAAAATTTTGTAGTAGACAATTTTTAAAAATTATTTTATGCTCCTCTGAGGATAACAGATCTTTATCTGGTCTCCCATATGGATGGCAGGGGCCCAAGTATCATCCAGTGCCTTCCCAGACACATTAGCAAGAAGCTGGATGGGAGGCAGATCAGCCAGGGCTCAAATTGGCACTCTAATATGGGATGCTGGAGCCCTAAGCAGTGGCTTAACTCACTGTGCTACACATGGGTTCCTCGTACACTTAACTGTTTGTTTATTTATTTATTGACAGGCAGAGTTAGACAGTGAGAGAGACAGAGAGAAGGTCTTCCTTTTTCTGTTGGTTCACCCCCCAAATGACCACCACGGCTGGCGCGCTGCAGCCGGTGCACTGCACCAATCCGAAGCCAGGAGTCAGGCGCTTCCTCCTGGTCTCCCATGTGGGTGCAGGGCCCAAGCACTTGGGCCATCCTCCACTGCCTTCCCGGGCCACAGCAGAGAGCTGGACTGGAAGAGGAACAATCGAGACAGAATCCAGTGCCCAAACTGGGACTAGAACCCAGGGTACCGGCTCTGCAGGCGGAGGATTAGTCAAGTGAGCCGTGGCGCTGGCCCCTCCTACCCTTAACTTTTAATTCTATTTTGTGATGAACATTTCAAAGCCCTCCTATATGTTTAAGATCTCTACCAAAAAACTAATTTTGTCTTACTACCACTCAGTACCCACATTCAAATGATTTAAAAATCTAAAAGCCCACAGATCGTAGCATTCAAAGAAAAACGAACTACTTACTGCAGGAAAGTAAGTGCCTTTGGTGCTGGAAGAACTGCTTGACGACGCTCCTGTGACATGAGCTCGATCATAGGGGGGTCCACTACTTCCCCCCATGATGCTGAGGGAGCTGATCATCGATTTACCTCGAGACATTCCTACAATGACAGGGGGTTAACACTGAGGATGACTAAGATCTATAAAAATAAATGAAACAGTTTTGTTCAACTGTGGGACCACAAACACCAACATTCAAGTAGTATGACTTTGAATCAACTCCCGCTCTCCTTCCTAAAAATAACTGAAATACTTGATGGAGAAAGGAAACCAGTGTCCTCTAGATGTGCATGCTTCCACTGAGAGTCGGCCTAGAAAAAGGCCAAGAACAGCTCACAGCTCCGCCCTCCCCTGGGGGAAGCAGAGTTCTTCAAAATGAAAAGTTTCATCCTGCTGAAGTTGTGATGGCTAGAGGCTGTGAAACAGAGTAGATGAAGAAAAATTTATTCAAAAGGAAGTAAGTCATTTTTAAGGCATAAACCCAACATATGGAAGATATTTCTTCATCTACTGAATCCAAGTGTGCCTGGAATGAAAACTACCAATGGTGAAGGAGGAATTACAGTTTTCCCAAGTACCTTCCCGCATTGCACTAGCTGAAAACTGGAATGGAAGCAGAGCAACATTACCACTAACAGCTTCAAAACGATGTCTGTTTGCTTAAGAGTCACACCCAGAATAAATTCCTATTTTTTCAGAGAGCTTTTGCCAGGCACTTCCTTCTCCTTCACATTCATTAAAAGGAAGGCTTCTTTTCACTAAGGGCACCAAGGAACACTGAAAAGAAATCGTAACTACCCTAGAGGAATACGGCCTAGCCAAGGGTAGAGCTTCTGGCTCCACGGCTATGCCTAAATCAGCCCTCATCCCACTTCATCACATAAAGTGTCAGAAGAAAACATACGACAGTACATAGATTCCTCCCTTGTATCACTCAGCTATTTCCAAATGTTCGCCAAAGGGAATCTATTTTCTGGCCTCCTTTTATTCTTAGATTCAATAACATTGTGGTTCTCAGGGAGTAAACTTAAAGAACGTGTGGTTTATAACTCTTCTCACTGGATGCCTGGTAATTTGCTTTTAGTAGAGCATCCAGAAATGCAGTCAGAAGGGCTAAGAGCCTGTCAACGCGTCTGCTTAACATTCTTTCACAATTTCTATCATGCCAAACCCAAGGCCTTTTGTGTAAAGAGAAGGTGCTAAAAGTAAAAACAAACCTTTGTTCTTGTAACTTCTTAAACATGAAGCAATCTAATTTCAAATAGGCTCCGGGTAGCACCCTGTCTCCCTAGAAGAAACCTGGCAATCTTGCCAGGACTCAAGACGTGATTCTCAGTAGAGCAGTCACCACTCACCTGGAAGAGATCCTGACAAAGAACTTGGGTGTGGCACGTAGCCAAGTGGCACCGATGCTGGTCCATGTACTACATAGTCATTAGTCATGGTTTCCCCATCCCCCTTCATTCGTGGACATAGCATCCTCTGGCAGATGAAGTATATAGTTCCAGACACAAAAATGGTGACAATCACTCCAATAACTGAACCAACTGTATTGGTGGCCTGTGGTGCGGGCTCTTCAGTGGGATCTAAAACCAAGAATGCAGTACGGTCATGGAATGGAAAGACAACCACAGCAGCAGTCAAAAAGAGGGTTTGCTAGCAGCATGTGATGCTAAGGCCCAACTAGGCGACTTGTTCTTCTTTCATGAAGACATATGTACTATGCCCCTGGACATTTCAATCAAATGTCATCATTAGGAATCAAAGTGAAGACAGAAACAAAACAAATGACTGAGAAGCAAATTGTAAATAAAGAGAAACAAAGACGATGGGAAGTGAAGTACAGATTTAAACACTACTTAGAAACTTCAGACCATAAGAATCAACAAAGTTATTTTGGAATTTCATTTTACTGCCAGAAGGGAAGGACCTAAAAAAGCTATCAAATGTTTTACCTGGAAAGGTGAAGAAGCTAAAGGCAGCTGCGAGCACAAGTTCGGTTTTAGACTTTAATAGTGAAAATTCAGCCTGGTAAGGTAACACTAAAAGCTAAAGATGAGCCTTAACTCTCAGACCTAATACAAGGATATTTCAAAAGATCTGTGGAAAAGTGGAATAAAAAAATCATTTATTTTGCCATCCCCCAAAAAAACCCTGAAATCCTTGTATAGCTTTTATATAATACACCATTTCCCATGGGCATTTTTAAAAAAAGATTATTTTCAATACTAGATTCTGCGGTTCTCTTTTTAAAAAATTTATATGAGGGGCTGGTGTTGTGGGGTAACAAATTAAGCCACCGCCTGCAATCCCATAGGGGTGCTGTTTGAGATCTGGCCGCTTCAGTTCTGCCCCAGCTCCCTGCTAATGTGCCTGAGAAAGCAGTGGAACATGGCACAAGTGCTTGGGCCCTGTACTCATGTGTTTGAGACCTGGATAAAGCTCCGGGCTCCTGGCTTCAGCCTGGCACAATCGTGGCCATTGTGGCCACTTGGGGAGTGAACCAGCAGACAGAAGATGTCTCTCTCTGTAACCCTTTCAAATAAATAAAAAATAATCTAAAAAATTTTTATTTGAAAGGCAGAGAGATGGACACAGAACTGCCATTGGCTGGTTCAATCCCCAAAGGTCTCCAACAGCTGGAACTGGACCAACAGTTGAAGTCAGAAGCTTAGAACTCAATTTGGGTCTCCTGCATGAGTGACAGGGATCCAAGTACTTGAGGTATCACCTGCTGCCTCCCAGGGTGTACATTAGCAGAAAGTTGGAATCAGAGGCAGAGCCAGGACTCAAACCCAGGCACTTTGATATGGGATGCAGAAATCCCAGGTAGCATTTTTACCACTGTTCCAAATGCATGCCCCACCCAGGAACTATCTGAAGGCCTTTTGTATGCTGCTTCCTTCAAGCCATGTTGACTGAAAGCACAAGAAAATAAAATTTCCAATATTTGATTACTAAAGGATTTACAGAGAAAGCCCAGAACACCAGAGAAGATCCTGCTCTTGATATCCACCTACACTGGATGAATCTCTGAGCTACCTTAGCCTTTACAAAGCAGAGGGTATCAATATCAGAACCAGAGAAAAAAGAGCAAAAAAGCTTATAAGCATGAAGCACCAACTCTCCAATTCAAAAGGAAAATTCTTCCATTCTGAACAGTTACATTTTATCTCACAATTGCATATCCTTTAAAAAAAACTTTATTGTGCTTCGCCTTACCTCAAACCTACTATTCACACAGCCAAACACATGCTCTGCCTCAGAGCATGTGAAAGAGATCAGCACTTGTAACAGGTAGAGGGTACCAGTTGCAGACCTGGTCCATGCAACTGAAGGCATAGATCCTCCTTCAATCCTTATGAGCTGCCATCTCATCTTTTTATTTCTTTCTAGTGCTGTGGCACTCTTTTATTTGTTTTCATTTTATTTGAAAGGTGGAGAGACAGAAAGATCTTCTATCTACTGGTTCAGTCTCCAAATGCCTAGGCCAGGCCAAAGGAGCCCATAACTCCTCTCTACGTCTCCCACGTGGGTGACAGGGACCCAAGCACTTCAACCATTATCTGCCACCTCTCAGGGTATGTGCCAGCAAGAAGCTGGACTGGAAGTAGAGGAGTCAGGACTCAAAGCAGGCACTCTGATACGGGATTGTGGGTGTTCCAAGTGGCAGCCTAATTGCCGTCTAATGCTTGCCTCCTTGGCACTCAATTCTGATGTAAAGTTTCAAAAAAGACAAGCTGATATTCACAACTCCCAATTTCTATTTCTCTGGGTTACATCTTAACTCTCTGCTCGTGACTGCACTGAAACTGCTCTAGTTTCTAGGCCAAAGTTCTATTTGCTGTACTCAATATAACTCCGCATTGGAGCAGGCATTGTGGCACAGTGGGTTAAAGCACTGCTTGGGACACCTGCGTGCCAGACGGGAGTAACTAGGTTTGAGTCCCACCTATGCTTCCAATCCAGCTTCCTAGTAACAGGGACCCTGGGAGGCAGCAGCTGATGGCTGAAGTACTTGGGTTTCTGCCACTCATATGAGGGACCTGGATTGAGTTCTGCACTCCTGGCTTCAGCCTGGCCCAGCTATGGCTGTTTTAAGCATCTGGGGAATGAACTAGCAGATGCAAAAGTCTCTGCTCTCTCTCCTCTATGACTCTTTCAAATAAATACAATAAATAAACTTTTAAAAATGACCACATATCTCATTGACTGCTAGCTCCTGTTTTCTTCTCAAAAAAGTCTAATCATTATTGTTCTAAAACACTATTTAGTTTTACTATTTCTTATTCTTTTCTTCTGCCTGCCTTCGAAGGTCAGGTGCTTCCCCGAGTTCTACCTACTACCTTTGTTTTCTTTCTCTAACTGGTCTCCTGGGAGATTTCATCTACTCACACAGACTACTTAACCATCAATAAACTTAAGAGCGTCAAACCTCTCTCCTGAGCTACTGACACATAATCAGCAATTTCCTGAACAGCTTCAATGGAATATCCCATAGGCATCTGTAATATCTCAAACGGAGCTCATCATCGCCACCATTTGTCATTTCTTCTGGATTCCAGGGGTAAAGCAGATCATAAATAAATAAAGGAATCCAATATAGGGCAGGTAGAAATGGGGCCAGTGGCAAACTGTGAAGAGCATGCCTGCCTAGTGGTATTTAATTAAAACAAATAAACTGCACCAACCAAACATTACACCTGTAGTCAGGATATGCTGTGGAACTGCAGTTTTCAGTCTGGGCTACCTTTCCTAGTTAATTATTCCAGTCACTCAATGACATATCTGTGGGTTAACTTAAAGTTATCAACTGCGTCCAAGTGGCTACCAAATCCTTTCTATTCTATTTCTGAAATAACTGTGAACTCTCTTCCCTCCTTTCTCTACTACTGCTTTTCCCCCTTAGAGCTTCATCATTTTCTCTATGAACTACAATGGTCTCCTGAGCATTTTTTAAATTATAGGATGCAAGGCATTAGTAGATGGTGAAAACAATTTCATGAGTTGCAACCACATTTAACAAAAATGAAACCGAGGCCAGCATCGTGGCTCACTGGGCTAATCCTCCGCCTGCAGCACAGGCACTCCGGATTCTGTCCCAGTTGCTCCTCTTCCAGTCCAGCCCTCTGCTGTGGCCCGGGAAGGCAGTGGAGAATGGCCCAAGTGCTTGGGCCCTGCACCCCATGGGAGACTGGGAGGAAGCACTTGGCTCCTGGCTTTGGATTGGCACGGAGCGCTGGCCGTAGTGGCCACCTGGGGGGTGAACCAACGGAAAAAGAAAGACCTTTCTCTCTGTCTCTCTTTCTCTAACTCTGCCTGTAAAAAAAAAAAAAAAAAAAAAAAAACGAAAACATGAGAATGCACTCTATGTAACAGGGGTAAACACTGTTGTGCACCACTCTGTTTCTTTATGCATGCAGCCACCTCTTTGTATTCCTCTTGGTGTGGTCAAAAGGTTGAAAGGAACCACTCTGAGCAGATCTCCCTTCCCATAATCTTAACATCACCAGCTCATCTGCTCTTTGATATGTGGCCTTCCTAGTCCTTTTCTGAACAGTTTCAGTGACTGTACCCTCATAATGGAACAGTGCCTATGTTCTTTAGAAGAATAACAAAGTCCTCCATGACCTTCCATTTATCTATGTTATCTCTTGCTGACATCCCTTAAGACAGCCTAGGAACTGCACTGTTTCACAGTGGGCTAAGCCTCCGCCTGTAGCGCAGGCATCCCATATGTGCACTGGTTCCTGCCCCGGCTGCTCCTCTTCTGATCCAGCTCTCTGCTACAGCCTGGATGGCCCAAGTGCTTGGGCCTCTGCACTTGCAAGAGAGACCTGGAAGAAGCTCCTGGCTCTTGGCTTCGGATCGGCCCAGCTCTGGCCATCTAGGGAGTGAGCCGGTAGATGGAAGACCTTTTTCTGTCTCTTCATCTCTCTGTCTGTAGCTCTGCCTCTCAAATAAATAAATAAATAAAATCTCTTAACAACAACAACAACAACAACAACAACAACAACAACAAAAAGACATAGCCTATATTTTGGCAGTCTCTTTTAAGCATAGTAGTTTCCCAAAGGTGCTTATTTCACTTCTTTCTGCTTCTGAACACAGATTTCCTCTGTCTGGGATGCAGTTTCTCTACCTAGCTGAATAATGAACACCACTCACTGATCAGCACTCATTCTTAAGTACCATTTTTATAAGAAGCCTTCCTTGATTCTTAAAGCCATTTTCATTCCTAAAAAGTTGACTATGCTCTTCTTTATACTACTACTTGTATAGATTCCTATTATATAGCACTTCTGGTATTACTTATCACATTCCATTATCAATAATACCTACCAAAAGCCAGGCTACACACTAGACAGGCTAAATAGTATAAGCATTAAATCATTTAATTTTCTCCCAAACAGCAGGCTAAATATCATTATCTTCATTATAAAGAAACTAAGGTTTAACAAGAACAATCTGTTGGTGAGAGGAGGAGCTAGGATTCAAATCCAGCTCTGCCTGCTCCCCTACTATCTCAACCACAGAGGATTTTGAGAAACTCAGAGCATATAGCAGGTGTCCTTAGCACACAGCAGAGTGTTCAGCACAGGCAGGAAATACTTGTTGAATAGATATATAAATCCCCAAAGTCTGAGTATCTCAACTGAACTTTGTAAAAAAAAAAAACCTGTTTGGCGTAGGTGTTTGGCAGTTAGAATGCTGCTTGGGATGCCTACCAATCAGACACATCGAAGCATCTGATTTGAATACCAGCTCCTCTGAATCTCATGCAGTTTCCTGTTCATGTGTGCTCTGGTAGGCAACGGATGATGGCTCGAACACTTGGGTCCTTGCCACTGTGTGGGAGACCCAATTTGAATTCCCAGCTCCCTGGCTTTGGCCTGGCCTAGCCCTGGCTGTTAGATTCATTTTGGAAGTTAATCGGCAGATGGGGAATCTCTGTTTGTCTGCCTTTCAAATAAATAACATTTTTTAAAAATACGAGCTTAAAGTCATTACAGGTAAAAGAGTTTTAAAATGAGAATTATCTACATTCCAATAAGCCAGTTTTGCCAGGGTAGACCTGCTCAAGCTGACTCCCACTCAGAACTCATTCTATCAGATTGGGGCTACATTATAGGTTGAAGCACTGTCAATAGATATGAAGCTTGTTCAGCCAAGGGTCCTAAGTCTAGGGACATTTGCTGGCCTTGGGACACTCAGGTCACATTTTAAGAAAGTTTTTAAAGTCTTCCAGCCATCAAGAAACTGATGCAAGCATTTCAATGAGAAAATGTGACACAGATAAAACACTAACGTTCAGAAATGAAGTTTAGACCAATAACTGATATCCATATATCTATACTATTCGAGAATTTCGTTAGCTTTAGTTGTGACCCCCCAAAAATGTTTATTCTTTTTTGGTGCTTTACTAAATGTTTCTGCAAAAAATTTTGTGTGTAAGAAAACTGTTATCTTTAAGAAATTATTAAAAGCGAAGAAAAAAACCCTGGCACAGATAACCAGCTTAATAGTCTTGTTACTTCATAAGGAAATTCTAAGTAAAGCTTACACATAAAAAGAAATGATATTTAACAAAACTCTCTCTTAAGACAAATTTTCAAGGTTTTGGTCTGACTTACAACAATCCAGCTCATCTGATTTGTCACTGCAGTCCACATTATGGTCACATTTCTTGTGTTTTCCAATGCACTGACCATTGGCACAGCGGAACTGATCAATTAAACAAAGCACTAGAAAAAAAATGCAAGTGGATTTTATTTTTACCATCATATCAAGACCAAACTGAATCTAAAGGCACTTAGTACAAGTGAAAAGTAAGACTTTTACATGTAACTTAAATATTATTCTCTGGGAATTTCTACTGGCAGAGAGAAAGAATGAGTGGGGACAGGACTCCAGCAGGAAATTTCTTTACAATGTACTTTTTCTTTACACTGTATTTCCTCTTTCAGTAATAAATTTCCGATTGCCCTAAATAACTCTAGAGAACATGTTGGTCTGTTTTGCCCTTGTTGAAGGTTAATGAGGCAAAGAGGAGAATATGAAATATTTCAGACTGTAGTAAATCAATCAATGTAGAATTCACTGAAAACAGGGACTATTTTTATACACTAAAACATCATCTTTTGGTCTCATTTCTCAAATTTTCAAAGCTTATTAATCTGAAAAACCTCTACGCACATGAAGTAAATTAAAACAATTTGCAACATGGGACTATGTTCAGACATGAAATGGTCAATTGTGCTTGAAAAATTACCCCGAATTACTGCTCAGCCAAATTTTAAGTAACTTTAATGGAAAAGGGACTACATGACCAGGCACTGAGGAATCTTGGATACCTTCACAGTTCTTCTCATCGGACTTATCCTGGCAGTTGGCATCTCCATTGCATCGGAGGGCACCGTCAATGCACTGCCCGCTGGCACACTGGAACTGGGACTCCGAGCACACAGGACAGTTGAGCTCGTCACTGTGGTCTTCACATTCGGTGAATCCATCACAACGCCAAGCCACAGGGATACAGTCGATTTCCCCGGTGAAACAAGTGAACTGCTGAGGAGAACATGTTGGGGGCTCTTCAGATGAACAGAGGAGACAGAAGCACAGCAATGGTCACACAGAGGTACAAACACATCCCAAGTTATCTCATTTAGTAATCATTATATACAAAATACTACAATGACACTACTTCATTTAGATTACTAACATGTAAAATTATAAGGCAAATGTTTTTTCATATAGCTCACATATACAGAATAAACATAAATCAAGTAGGATTATGATATTTAAAATTCATTACACTCTCACACATAACCTAGGAATAATCACTGTAACTGCCAATCTGCATATATTTTAAAGTAAGCCTAGAACTCATGAGGTTCTTAAAAGATGGCCCACAAACCCCTGGGGATCTCTGATATCCTTCAGTGGATCCTGTAGGTCAAAACTATTTTCATAATAATAAGATATCATTTGTCCTTTTCACTACACTTTCACTGATGTTACAAAAAGAATGGTGGTTAAAACTGCGCCTTAGCAGGCTCAAGAACAGTCTCACTGTATACACAGTATACTCCAGATAGCCACACAGGCACAGTTTAAACAAACAAATGAAAAGGCCAGTTTCACTTAAGAAGTTCTTGAGGAATTTAAAAAAATTACTTATATTAAAACCAACTCCTGAGCACATGCCCCTTCAATATTGTTTGACAGAATGGGAAGCATACATAAAGTTAGGCTGAAACCTAAGCATGACGGCTTCTAAAGGGAAAGCATTTGCGTGAATTATAAACTTAACTCAAACAGAGTATCATTTTTACCAGAAAGAACAACTAACAGATTAAAACTACAGTACTTATAAAGTACTATTTTTACCAGAACAACCAGTATTCACTATTGGGTATTTGGCAGGAATTTGTAAAAAATGAACTAAGTGAGCTTGTTACTTCAAGAAAAACAACAGAAAGTATTTATGGAAAATTATAACACCAAGGCTTTCAACTAGAATTAGAAATTTTGAAAACTTGTGTTCACTTTTGTAAGCCCAACAGCTTCCTAAGTACTTTAGTGATTCTTCTGATGAGACTGATGGTAATGTTAACAAATGTGACTTTTTCGGATATTATACAATGAAAGGGATCAAAATCTGAAGATGTGCAAATTTCTAAACACAATTTTACTATGTCCAAATGACAAATATTATGTACGATTACAAAATCATGCCTGTGTAAAAGATCTATTCACAATACAAAATAGTCTGGTACATTTTAAGGTAAGAGACTATGAAAAGTTAACTGCTTTGGTTACAAAATATATACTGCAAGTAAATCTACAACAAACTATAACTTGTCAAGATTTGGTATAGAGGGGCTGGCGCCAGGGCATAGCTGGTTTAAGCCTCCACCCGCAGTGCCAGCATCCCAGATAGGCGCTGGTTCTGAGTCCCGGCTGCTCCACTTCCAATCCAGCTCCCTGATAATGGCCTGGGAAAGTAGTGGAAGATGGCCCAAGTGCTTGGGTCCCAGCACCCACATGGGGGACCCAGAAGAAGCTCTTGTCTTTGAATCGGCTCAGCTCCAGCAGTGGTAGCCATCTAGGGAGTGAACCAGTGGATGGAAGACCTCTCTCTCCCCCTCTCTGTAACTCTGCTTCTCAAATAGATTTTTTAAAAAATCTGGTACATGGCCGGCGCCGCAGTTCACTAGGCTAATCCTCCGCCTGCGGCGCCAGCACCCCAGTTCTAGTGCCGGATTCTGTCCCGGTTGCTCCTCTTCCAGTCCAGCTCTCTGCTGTGGCCCGGGAGGGCAATGGAGAATGGCCCAAGTGCTTGGGCCCTGCACTCGCATGGGAGACCAAGAGGAAGCACCTGGCTCCTGGCTTCGGATCAGCATAGCTCCGGCCATAGTGGCCATTTGGGTAAACGGAAAAGGAAGACCTTTCTCTCTGTCTCTCTCACTGTCTAACTCTGCCTGTCAAAAAAACCCAAAATTTGGTACAGAAGCCAAGATGAATATCCATAAGTATTTGAAAAGACTATTATTATAGTCTTGTATTTTCCAGCTACATATCTGTACGGGACCCAATTTTCTTCATATATTTCAATCAAAATCACAATAGTCTGGATGCAGAAGCACACATGAGAATTTACAACATGAAAGAGATTTATAAAAACGTAAAAACATTGCCACTATTCTCATTAAAATAATGCTTTAGAAAATAAAATTTTCTTAACATATTTATGAAAACATGTAATGGTTTATTACTGCTTTAAATAATTTTATTAAGTTCTTAGATTTAAATTTCAAGTACAGTAAATATGCACACAAAAACTAAGATTTTTTGTTTTTGTTTTTTGGTGGAGGGAGAGTGGTTACTTACTTGAAAGGTAGAGAGGTAGAGTGACAGAGGGAAGGAGAGATGGGGAGAGTTATCCTTGATCCACTGACTGGTTCACTCCCCAAATGCCCACAATCAGTCCAGGCCACAATCAGGAGCCAAAGACTGTATGTCTGGATCTCCCACATAGATGGCAGAAATCCAAGTACTTGAGCCATCACCTGCTGCTTCGGGGGTATGCTAACAGGAAGTTGGATCAGAAGCAGAGGGACACTCTGACATAGCATGCAGACATCTTAAGTGGTGCCTTTTCCAGTTGTGCCATGAGGCTCACCCCTTCAATGATATTTTAAAATGTAAAAATAGTGTGAGAACTGCCATTCAAATTCAATTTCCTTGCCATGCAAATGAAAAAACTAAGAGTCAGAGAGGCTAAGTGGCTGCCCACGGTCACAGAGGTTCCTATAAATAAGGAATAACACAAAAAAATAGGAAACGGGTCAGGCAGGCATTGGGCCTAGCAATAACAATGATGGGTTAGGATGGTCATAGCTCATGATGGAGTTCCTGGGGTTCAAGACCAACTTCCTACCAATGCACACCCTGGGAGGTAGCAGATGATGGCTCAAGTGTTGAGTCCCTGCTACCCAAGTGGGAGACCTGGATTGGGTTCCTGGTTCCCAGCTTCAGCCCAGTAGGGCTGGTTCTGGCTATTGTAGCCATATGGGGAGTTAACCAGCAGATAGGAGCTCTATCTCTTTCTCTAAGAAACAAGTATTTTTTAAAAAGAAAGAAACAAAACAGAAAGGGCAATCTTCTTACTTTTAGCCCACTGCCTTTACTATTAAATAATAGGCTGACTACTTTAAAAAACCATGTCTATTAGTAAATCCTCTAGGAAATACAACAACTCTATTACATGGTCATGGCTCACAGTATCATTTATCTTTAAAACAGGGACTACTACAGGCTACAGGTAAACTATTTACATGGGAAATTTGAGGTATAACTTTCAGTAAGGCTATTTTGTATTCAGTACAATCAAGATTACATGGAAAATTAACACAGATAAAATAGGACCCCTGTCCCTCCTAAGTTTAAAAATTTGGTTGCAGATAGAAGGAGACTAATAATCAAAGCAAGTGACAACACTACTTTGAGGTGCACAGCATGCACACTAAGGCAGCAAGCGCTGCAATTCAGAGACAGGGGAGAGCTGTGATGGCCAGGGAAGGCTTTACAGCTCTAGGACGGGTATGCAAGAAGGGGCCAGCGCAGTGGCTTAGCGAGTAAAGCTGCCACCTGCAGTGCTGGCATCCCGTATGCACACTGTTTCTAGTCCCAGTTGCTCCACTTCTGATCCAGCTCTCTGCTACGGCCAGGGAAAGCAGTAGAAGATGGCCCAAGGACTGCACCCATGTGGGAGACCCGGAAGAAGTTCCTAGCTTCGGATCAGCCCTGCTATAGCTATTGCAGCCATTTGGAGAGTGAACCAGTGGATGGAAGACCTCTCTCTCTGTCTCTCCCTCTCTCTGTCTGTAACTATGCCTCTCAAGTAAATAAAGGAATCTTTAAAAATTTTTTTAAATTTAAAAATGTTTATAAAAAAATAGAGAAACACGTACTTGAAATACAAGTAAAGCCACAGAAGCCAAACAGAACAGAAGTGATCAACAAACTCTAAACAGCCAAACAAAAATAAAGTGAGCAGGCTGTGAAGAAATATAAAATTAGATGGGTTGGTAAGACAGGCTCAAATGAAATCAGGCCCCAAAGGTCAGACAGCGGAATTTAGATTTTGCATTTCATCTGTCTTTACTGTAAGATCAGTAAAAAGATCTGCAAACAAATGTTTGTTGCATTTTATTTCTAATAACAAAAAAATTGAAAACAAAATGTCCTGTACAGGAGAGTAATATACTGTGATACTGTATAATGAACTACTAAGCAGTTAAAAGGAAAGCTACTGAATAAACTATTAAGAATCAATTTGAAAATATTAAGGAAAAGAACCCAGACATAAAGAGAGTACACATATGACTAATTCAATTTATATGAAGTTCAAGAACAAGCAAAACTACAGAGCTAAAAACCAGAACAGTGCTTAGTTTTCAAACAGGGGCAACTGACTGGAAAGACGGTGGGTACTTTTCTTAAGAGTACATTTCACATCTTGATTTGGGTGCTGGTAACACATTTGTATTTATTTGTCAAAACTCTGACTCTCCCTTTCATCCATTAAAAAACAATCACTAAATGTACAGGCAAAAAATTAAAGGTATTTTATATGGTATTTTCTAATGGGAAAAATGAGACCCTTGATTTAACTTTAGCTATGTTATTGCTAATATAAAGGGAAATTTTTCTAGGATTTGTCTTACCTTGCTATGGAAACAATTAAATTTTTTTATTGTAGTAAAACTTATGTAACATAAAATCAATCAATCAAACCATTTCAAAGTACACAGTTCAGTGGCATTAAGAACACTGACATTATTGTGCAACACTTGCTGTTTCTCTCATTTCAAGTACCAGAGCTTAACTTTTATTGGGCACATGTCTGATCTCCCTGATTACACTGTCTGCTACATCTCAAAGATCTTCAAATCCTCTGCAATCCAAGCAGAAAGTCCACAGCTGCTATTCAATGTGTGCTTTGTTTATGTTTTTACTTATCATCCTACCTTATTTACCATTTTTATATTTTGAGCACATACTCTTCCAATCTTTGTGTACAGAAGTATGTATTTAGGGAACTGATATAATAGAAAACATCATTTTAATCATGATCCCAATTGAATAGCTCAGTTACTTCACTTAGTAGTAATTTTCCTACCATTGGAAATAACATTGCTTTAAAATTTCTATTACAGATAACAGCATGGTACAGTCCTTTTCTTTCAGTTGAAGGTCCTGAGAATTGGCCCTAAAGGAGGACTTTCCACATAACAGTATGAATACTATTAAGGAGGCTGACACTGTCCTACTGTGATTTAACAAAGGAATGTACCAATCTGTTGTGACCTATGAGTATTAAACCAATTTCACCACAAAATTAACACCACACTTAGTGCTATACTTAAAAAATGTCTTCTTGCCAGATAAATGAGAAAAATAACAGAAAACCACAAGTAGATGTGAACAAAATAATACTCATTTCACTGTACACATCTCCAACAATGATAAATAAACTGACAGAATCTAGAATTTATTGGATGAAGGTATAAGGGATAGAATTCACTTTATTATCCCATTGAGGGGTGAGAGAAGGAGGCTACTCTATTACTAGGAAATACACTCATCTACAGGCTGAAAACATGGTAACATATATAAAACAGAATACCACTCATCCTTAAATGAAGGAAATTCTGTTATTTGCCACAAAATCCATGAGCCTGGAGGACATTATGTTAAGTGAAGGAAGCCAGGCACAGGAAAGACAAATACCACATGATCTTACTTAGATATAGAGTGTAAAAAAGTCTAACTCATAGAAACAGAGAGTAAAATGGTGGCTACCAGAGGCTGGGGAATATGGGTTAAGGAAGGGGAAGGAGAAAAAGATAACCCAAAAGCCAAGTCAGCGCAGATGAACAGAATACAAATGAACAACTGAAGCAGAAGGATAAGCAACACCACTGTCTGACCGAACAAGGCTGGACAACACACACAGCGCACTGGTCCTTAGGCCTGCACAAGAAAATTACAGCACATTTACCTCCACATGATAGCTCATCCTGAAGCAGAACCAGGTGTATGGGGCAAGAGCATCTTGTAGTACCATCCCCTTTTACAAGACAGATATGTGAACAGCCACCGTTATCCTGAGCACACGGGTGCTGTCCTGCAAAGCGAGGAAGAAAAGAAACAATGAACCACCATGTCAAAATAAATTATCTAAGAACTGTGAAGAAAACCAAATGTAAAACCAGCTTGGACTTTATGCCCATACATATGATTCCTCATTCCATCAAACATTACATAGCTATATGAACTATTTTAAAATTCTTAAAGTAATAGTACAGCTCACACCTAGTTTTTTGTGAACAAGTAAAGCTGATTACTGAAACTAGAAAAACTGCTAGAAGAATGCTAAGACCTGGATACTTTTTTATTTGAAACACAAGACCTCTTCAATACTCAAGATTTTAATTTAAAAAATTCTCTTCCTAAAAGGTAAAATCATTTCACTTTTAAAAAGTATATATTTTTATCATATTAAATTTACCATCTTAACCATTTTTTCTTTTTTTTATTTTTTGGGACAGGCAGAATGGACAGTGAGAGAGAGACAGAGAGAAAGGTCTTCCTTTTGCCGTTGGTTCACCCCACAATGGCTGCTGCAGCCGGCGTACTGCGCTGATCCGTAGCCAGGAGCCAGGTACTTCTCCTGGTCTCCCAAGTTGGTGCAGGGCCCAGGCACTTGGGCCATCCTCCACTGCACTCCCGGGCCATAGCAGAGAGCTGGACTGGAAGAGGAGCAATCGGGACAGAATCTGGCACCCCGACTGAGACTAGAACCCGGGGTGCTGGTGCCACAGGCAGAGGATTAGCCTATTGAGCCGCGGCGCCAGCCATCTTAACCATTTTCAAAAAAACATTCATTTTATCTATTTGAAGGCCTGGAGACAGAGAGCAAGGGAGAAACGTAGAAGGACATGATGGGGGAGGGAGTAGGAAAAAGAGCTATCTTCTATCTACTGCTTCATTCCCCAAATTGCCACAACAGCCAGGTCCAGGCCAGGCCAAAGCCGGGTGCCAGGAATTGCATCCCAGTTTCGCACATGGGTGGCAGAAGCCCAAATACTTGGGCCATCTACCACTGGCTTCCCAAGAGAGCCAGCATGAAGCTGGATCATAAGCAAAGTAATCAGGACTTGAACTGGCACCCTGATATGAGATGCTGCATCTCAATGCTGGCCCAAAAAGTGTATGCAAATGAGGAATCCACTGAAAATTAAAGAGTTACTGAAAGACAAAACATCACATGGAAGTGAACCATTCAGACAGACAAAATTATTATCTTACTCAAAAGTTAAACTTGTGATACTAAAAATGTCCAATTTCCTCATATCTGGGCTAAGTTAGATAAACAACCTATTAGGCAACTTTCTGAAGCCTGTTTCACAAGTTGTATTGAAAGAAAATCAATGCTCTAAATTTTGTGTTTAGTTTGTGTTTAAAAACAACTTGAACACTGTCATCACAAAATACCAACATCTAATAAAGTCACTATTACCTCTTTTCGTACAATAACAAAACTGCTGCTTCAGTCTGTGTTGACAAAACAGGGAATCAGCTACAACAAATGAGCAGACTGTACAGACAAACATCACTCACTGTATTAGGACATACAATCTATCAAGCAGTGTTTCTCAATCTTTTCATTTCATGACACCGTGATAAACCAAAACCTTATTCTCCTTAATATTATTAGAAATTGCAAAAAATGTTTTTTCAAGAATCTAAATATATTTCAATGTTGAATAAGAGTAAAAAATATTTTCCTTTGAAATTCTGAAAATCCCCACTGGGATTTTCTGCAAAAAAAAATTCATATAACAACTGAATAAATGTCTTGGGTATTATGTATTATCTTATTTCTTTGAAATGTTTAACATGAGTCACATGTCATAATAGAAAATGATACTTCTAACTTCCTAATTCTCAAATGTCTCTAACTTCATTTCTAAGTTCAGGAATGGAGGTTACTCCATTCTTTTATTCTCCACTCACACTTCAATTTCACGTGAAAGCACTGAGCTGAGAAGTGAAGGAGTTCTGATACTTCTCTGTAGCACTCCAGTTAACATCAGCATCAGCATTCCTGTACCTCTCCTTGTGATGGCTATGATAGTATTTTTGAGTAGCGACATTTATTAATGAGAAATTAGACCAAGACAATTAGTCATTTTCAAAAATTTTCATCATTATAAAAAATATTTATGGCTATTTCCCAAATTGAGAAATAAAAATTCACCCAAGAGGGGAAAAAGCAGGCACTTACTGATTAAACAGGCTTCTCTACACTCACACATTAATTTCTGTTTGTTTTGTTTTTTGCTTAGGAATTTGGTTAATCCATGATAACTATATTAATCACTATATAAAATATAATCTTTACTTTTGTTCTAACTGTAAGAGAATAAGGGGAGAAAAGGAATAAATACTATATTGTCAGTATTCTCAAGGGAAGTGAAGGATAAAAACAAAAGGAATGACACACAATTATTGTTATACGTGGGGATTTTCATTTAAATGAGGACTATGCCTTTCCCTCATTCCTAGTTTATGAGAAGATGATTCATTTGAAAAAGCCCCCAGCTGGGTCTGACATAAGGCTTTCATAGCATGAGTAGTTCAAAAACTGGCACAACTACAAGTGCATGAAGATCTAGAACATAAAAGAGGTTGAGAAGACAAGAAAGTTCACCTTAATTTCTCGCAACACACAAGTGCTCCAATCAGCATCACCCCATTAGCACTTACGGTACTCCTGAAGATTCAGTTCCTTGACTGCATGAATGTCACTGAGCTGGGCAATTCGAGCCTGGACTTTGGTTCTGCCCTCTCGACCTGTCATGTCAATTTTTTCAATCATTTGTTGCTGCTTGTCAATCCAATAGAGCCAGTTTTCAAACACCGTCAATCCCACAGGCTGCAAGATATTGGAGTCTTCTAATACTATCCGATTGGCACCTTGAAAAAGGAAAACATTCAACAAAATGACTCAAATGTGTCAAAGCCTAAATGTAAACACTTATAGAACATCAGTGAGAGTCTAGAAGAATGGAAAAGGCAAATCAGGAAAGCTCTTCACCACAAAACTTAAAAATCATGCTAGAAGATAAATACATGCTAGAAAATAAGTAATCAACCAGTCACGTGAAATCAAGAGCAGCAAGTGTGTAATACTCTAGTTTAAAGTACTCTAGTTCCCAGAAATGGAGAAAAGGGAATTGAGAGGTAGTTTCAAATTCTGTTTTTAAGCAGAATACATTTTTAAATTCAATTTTATCAAAAACTCAATAAAACAGATAAAAATGGCACTTTTCTGGATGAAGTAGTGAGGCTGAGGCCAGAGTTTTGTGTTCTTTGTGTCCCTCACTTGGCTGAGTATACCCGACGTATCTATGAAGAACAATTTCATCTGAACAGGCAACTTGCATTATGCGTGTACAATGAGAAAGTTCTTTCTACAGTGGGCTGTGACCTATGTCCACACCCCACCCCAAGCCCCTGCTTTATTCACAGCGGTCATTCCAAAAAAGAAACCCATTCCTTTCCTCTTCTTTGTAATATAATAGCCCTTGAGTATTTTTTATTTTATTTTATTTTTTTTGACAGGCAGAGTGGATAGTGAGAGAGAGACAGAGAGAAAGGTCTTCCTTTTGCCATTGGTTCACCCTTCAATGGCTGCCACGGCTGGCGCGCTGCAGCCGGCACACTGCGCTAATCTGAAGGCAGGAGCCAGGTGCTTCTCCTGGTCTCCCATGGGGTGCAGGGCCCAAGCACTTGGGCCATCCTCCACTGCACTCCCGGGCCACAGCAGAGAGCTGGCCTGGAAGAGGGGCAACCGGGAAAGAATCCGGTGCCCTCACCGGGACTAGAACCCGGTGTGCAGGCGCCGCAAGGCGGAGGATTAGCCCAGTGAGCCGCGGCGCCGGCCGCCCTTGAGTATTTATTCTTGATTATTCTTGATTTCTAAATCATGAGTTCAACTGAATAAAGACATTAGCTCATATGTTGGAAATATCAAGAAAAGTGCCAGGAAAAAAGAAACATAACACTAAGAGTAAATGCCTGGAGAAAAGTGGGGAGACAGTCCAGATGGGAAGGCACTGCCTTGGTCAACACCCAGATCCATGGTAGGTTAAGAGCAAGTTTATCACACTCTCTCCTAAAACTCCTCTAAAGTGGTATTTTTAAAAATTTTAGGTCTGGGGCTACCACTGTGGCGTAGCGGGTTAAGCCATCCTCTGCAGTGCTGAAATCCTATATGAGCATTGCTGCTCTACTTCCAACCTAGTTCCCCATTAATGCACCTGGAAAAGCAGTAGAAGATGGCCCAAATGCTTGGGCCCCTGCACCCATGTGGGAGACCTGGAAGAAGCTCCTGGCTCCTGGTTTCTTTCTGCCTCAGTCCAGGCAGAAGTAGCCTAGAATAGTGGAAATGGCTACTGCAGTCATTTGAGGAGTGAACGAGCAGATGGAAGATCGATCTCTGTCTCTCTCTCCCCCTCTCTGTAATTTTGACTTTCAAATAAGTAAACAAATAAAATCTAAAAAAAAAAAAAATAGGGTCTAAACTAATAGTGATATCAAATTTTTGTAAGCTGAGCAACAGACAGACCAGGGATAATGACACAGTAGCCCAAGGAAGAATAAATGCCTACAGCCAGTGAAGCCAACAGTTAAATCAATCAGCTCAGGAATTAGAAGCACCAAGTATTTTAGAATGGATCTACGTGGCTGGGATTGAAAAGGGGCAATTAATTAATTAATTAATTAATATGTATGAGAAGTTACACAGCTCCTAGAGCTTCTACCTTAATCTCTGCCAGAAGATGGGGACTATATTTTCTAAAAAGGCTTGGCCAGACCTTTACATACCAAGAAGAAAAAGAGATAGTGCCATAAATAAGGGAAGCCTACCCTTTAAAAACACCCTGCTTTTATCCTCATTCTGGGAATGGAAAATTTCTCTACAGAAAAAAACTAAAACACACAAAAACAAGTAACACAAAAAGTACCACCAGAAAAGAACTCGCAAAAACATCACTTGGGAGTTCCATGAGAACTCTAGATCTCTATGAAGGACCCACCATGCCACCAGCAACGCACGTGTGTCACCACTTTTACTGCTTCAAACTAAGCAGACAACCAAGGATCAGCAAATATTTAGTAAAGAAAAGCTCTACCTTTAAATGTAAAGCCCAAGACACACAGAACAAAGGTATTTAGAGGAAAAGATGCAGCTAAAAGCAGAAGAAAATAAAAAACCTAAAGAATAGGATGACTTCGATGTGGTAGATGATTCAGGGAACACAAAAAAATTCTTGAGAAATAAAAACATGATACTTGGAAGTTTAAAAATAAATTCAACAAGAGCAATGGAAGATAAATTTGAGAAGCCTTCCCAGAAAGCAGAACAAAAGCAAAGCAGATGGTTGATAAAGAAAGAAAAATACAACTGGAGCTGAGAGCAGGAAAGAGGAGAGCAGTAGCCTTGATTTCGTTACTAGGTAAGTAGAATTATTTGATTTTCATAATATGTACCTATATTTCAAGAAAACTCAAATTCAACTTAAAATAAAAAGATGGCAATTTAAAAAGACTGATGAGTGGTAATCAAAGGATGGTATCAAATGGAAGTCAACAGTGTTAACGCAGGACTCCTGATGGCAAAGGAGCATAAGGAAAACATCTGAGCCAATACGGAAAAGATATGCTATTTTTCAACAAATTACACATGTGCTAAAAATGCAATCCACTGTAAGTGGTAGTTTATAAACGTGCACAAAATAGGCTCTACCAGAGACTAAAAATATGAAATAGATTATATAATAATAAATAAATAATAAAAATAAATATAAAAATAAAAAAATAAATAATAAAAAAGCATATAATCATGTGAGAATATATAAGAAAATAAACACCAAAATGACATCTTTTACAAAGAAAGACTTTTTTTTAATGAGGTGAATGTACTGATGGCAAAACTCCAACAAATGTGTAAGAAAGTAAATATTTAGAGTAATCTTTTTCATGAGCATACAAAACCCTAAAACAAAATATCAGCAAATCAAGTCCAATAAAAATAATGTATCATGACAAATTTGATTTATTCCAATAAACTGGAAAAAGGAAAGTTTGTTAATCTAATAATCTACAGAAAAATCTCAGCAAATGTAATCCCTGGTCTCAAACGATTGAATACCATCCATGGTTCCAAGCATCTACTGGAATGCAACCCCCCCCCAGAGAAAGTGGGAAAACTGAAGATCTATGCAACAGAACAGAATCACATAACAGAAATCAAATATACATTTAGATTTGTGTAACAATCTCATGAACAATGAAAGCTGTCAGTGATTAATTAAAGACCTGACTGAATACATGGAAAAGAACAATGGGGTTCTTATATCACAGCCATAAAAACCCACTCTAATCTGTAAATAAAGAACACTATAGAGAAAACCATAAGGATGTACTCCAAATTAAAAAAAGGGAGACTGGTGCAGTGGCACAATGGGTTAACACCCTGGCCTGAAATGCCAGCATCCCATACAGGTGCCAGTTTGAGTACCGACTGTTACTCTTCCGAACCAGCTCTCTGCTGTGGCCTGGGAAAGCAGTAAAAGATGGCCCAAGTCCTTGGGCACCTGCACCAGCGTGGGACACCTGGAAGAAGCTCCTGGCCCCTGGCTTTGGATTAGCGCAGCTCTGGCCGTTGTGGCCATCTGGGGAGTGAATCAGCAGACGGAAGACCTCTCTCTGTCTCTACCTCTCTCTGTAACTGTCTTTCAAATAAATAAAATAAATCTTTATTAAAAAAAAAAAAAAGGTATACTCCATGGTCATGAATAAAAAAGTGAATTTCTGAAACATGCCAATTCTCCTCTAATACATCTATAACTTCACAATGGATTAACATTCTGAATACATAAACATTTTCTAGTGTTGAGCATTTGGTTTAACACTTGACACCACTTGGGATCCCAGATCCTATACTATAGAGGGGTACCTGTATGCTTGGGTCCTGGCTCTGCTACCAATTCCAGCTTCCTGCTAATATGCACTCTGGAAGGCAGTAGGTGATGGCTCCAGTAGTTGGGTCTCTGCTGCCCATATGGGAGAACTAGATGGGGTTCTTGGCTCCAGGCTTTGGCATAATTCAGCCCTAGCAGCTACCTGGGGCACCAACCAGCAGATGGAGGTCTAGGGTGTGCTCTTGCTTTGTCTCTCTCTCAAGTTTCTTTTTTTCTATTACTCCCTCTTTCAAATAAAATTTTAAATTTTCTAGAAGCCGGACATAGGAAACTGAACACAAGTTACCAACAGCAATTCAGAGAAGAAACATGAATGATCAAGAAAAGATTTTGTTAAGCCTTACTAGCAACCACAATGAGGTTTCACCTCACCCTGGTTAGAATGGCTTACATACAGAAATCAATAACAGATGCTGGCGAGGATGTGAGGAAAAAGGCACACTAATCCACTGTTGGTGGAAATGCAAACTGGTAAAGCCACTATGGAAGAGTTTGGAGATACCTCAGAAATCTGAATATAGCCCTACCACAGGACCCAGTCATCCCACTCCTTGAAATTTACCCAAGGGAAATCAAATTGGCAAATAAAAGAGCTATCTGTACCTCAATGTTTATCGCTCCTCAATTCATAATAGCTATGACATGGAATCAACATAAATGCCCATCAACAGAAGACTGGATAAAGAAATTACGGGAAATGTACTCTATGAAATTCTACACAAAGGTAAAAAAAATAAATCCAGTCATTTGCAACAAAATAGAGGAATCTGGAAAATATCCTGCTTAGTGAAATATGCCAGTCCCAAAGGGACAAATATCATGTTCTCCCTGATCTGTGACAACTAACTGAGCACCTAAAAGGAAACCTGTAGAAGTGAAACTGACACTATGAGAAGCAATGACTTGATCAGCCCTTGTCCTGTCGAGGAACAGCTTACTATTTTATTCTTTTTAGTATTTTCTTTTTTCTACTTAATACCATTGGCTGAACTCTTTAATTAACACTGAATGATTCTTAGGCATTTAAATCCAACTGAAAATTGATCCCTGTTAAAAATAAGAGTGGGAATAAGAGAGGGAGGAGAGGTACAGTTCAGCACACACTCCCTCGGACTTACCTCTAAGGGTAAAGCTAAAAACTTGCCATGGGATTCCAAATCCCATTAAGTTGGCAGGTACGAATGCCATCTTACTAGTAGTTGAAGTGACCAGTTTAAGTTCATAATTGATCATAAAGATAGGATTAAGTGTCAAAGGGATCACATAAATAAGACCATTGTCTGCTAATTGATAGAATTAAATTTTGATAGAATTAAAAAGGAGAGAACAATCCAACATGGGAAGCAGGATACATAGCAGACTCATAGAATGACAAATGCTCTAAACAGCACTCTGGCCTCAGAATCAGCCCTGAAGGCATTCAGATCTGGTTAAAAAGCCCATGAGTGTTTCTCAGGCATGGAAAGCCAAGACACTGTGGCAAAAAATTATCTAAATGAAAGATCTCTGTGATATCCGGGTGAAAGAAGGAGCCATCAAAGGAGGTACCTTTCTCTGAAGAAAGGAGAGAACTTCCACTTTGATTATGGCCTTTTCTAAATAAGGTTGGAGTTTGTGAACTTCACAAACTCAAGAGGCTTCCATAGCCCTGGCAGCTCCTGACAAGAGCCTTGGGTGATCACTGGCATCATAAATAAGAGTGTCAATTGTTAAATCAACAACAGGAGTCACTGTGCACTTGCTCCCCATGTAAGACCTCGGTCCTTAATGTGCTGTACTATGAGAAATAGTGGTAAAACTAGTATTCAAACAGTACTTTATACTTTGTGTGTCTGTGTGGGTGCAAATGGTTGAAATCTTTACTTAGTGCCGGCATCCCATATGGGCACTGGTTCAAGTCCTGGCTGTTCCACTTCTGATCCAGCTCTGCTATGGCCTAAGAAAGCACGAGAAGATGGGCAAAGTTCTTGAGCCCCCGCACCCACATGGGAGACCCTGAGGAAGCTCCTGGCTCCTGGCTTCAGACCGGCACAGCTCTGGTTGTTGTGGTCAACTGGGGAGTGAACCAGCAGATGGAAGACCGACTGACTGACCTCCCTCTCCCTCCCCCCCACCCCCCCACCTCTCCTATATGTGTAACTCTTTCAAATAAATAAATATCTAAAACAAAAGAATCTGTAAGTCTAAAAATATCATGTGCTGGAACTGAAACCCTCAACACTGCTGGTGGAGACTTTAAGTTGGTATCATAACTTTGGACAGCAATTTGGTTATAACCAATCAAGCTGAGTATACACACACCATATTATCTTGCAAATCTACAATGAGTTTTAGGTCTAGGTCATATGGAAATGTTATAACACATGCATAAGAACATTCTTGGCAGCAGTTTTCAGTGGCAAGAAATGGAAGTTTTTCAATAGAGGTCACATAGACAACAAAATAGAGAAATAACAGAAGACTTATATAATAAAAAACTACATAAAACTAAACAGAGTTGTCGATCACCATGGATCAAGCCAAAACTATGATATTTTTTAAAAAAGTAACCTGCAAAAGAATATGCAACATGATTAACAAGAGGAAAAAATTGAAGTATTTGTATGTATGGTAAAATACACATACACAACCTTCACAAACATGCAGGGCAAAGAAAATTATCAAAAGTTACCTCTGGGAAAGAGAAGAATAGAATTGTGGAGGGGTACACATGAGTTTCAAAATTCTCCCCAATGTTTTCTTTCAAGGGAGAGAAGGAGAAAGGAAGGACCGAAAGCAAATACAACAGTTGCAGGATAGGTATTTTATATTTGACTTATTTTTTAATCATTTCCTAACTAGGGCAAAGAAACTGCACAGAAAAAAACTGCAGTTAACTCACTAAAATCTTTTTCGAAGCTTTCTTTAATGAACATGTTACTTTTGTAACAGAAAATAATTACAAATGAAGAGAAAGAGAAAACAGGAAAAGCAGGGGGGAAAACTTATCTTTGATACTAGTAAAAGAGTTAAAACCTCGACATAAACCACCATGGTACAAACTGAAGGTTAAGTAAGAGATACAGGTGCTCAGACGAGGAAAGAACATATCTTGGCAGGCCTGCAGACATGCATTAACTGTGTGCCTGTCTGCAGTCAAAGAAAGCAAAATGGAAGGGAGGCATCTGATGCTCAAGACAGAATTTAACATTTTAAAAAAATGACAAATGTATTCAAATAAAGATTCAAATAATGCAATAATAATGAATATGTTGGTATACTACCAACCCAGACTTCATATTTATTTACATATTTTTTGAAGAAATACAAACATATATTGTCTTGTTTCTTGTGTGTGTTTTTATGTACATATGATATAGTTTAAATTTTAAAAACTGGTTCTTAATAAACACTGCTATGCAACTTAATTTTTAAAAATATCCTTGGGGCCAGCACCGTGGCGTAGTGGGTAAAGCTGCTGCCTGCAGTGCCAGCATTCCACATGGGCGCCAGTTCGAGTCCCGGCTGCTCCTCTTCCAATCTAGCTCTCTGCTATGGCCTAGGAAAGCAGCAGAAGATGGCCCAAGTCCTTGGGACCTTGCACCCATGTGGGAGACCTGGAGGAAGCTCCTGGCTTTGGATTGGCATAGCTTCAGCTGTTGCATCCAGCTGGGGAGTGAACCAGCGGATGGAAGACCTCTCTCTCTCTCTCTGTTTCTCCTTCTCTCTCTGTGAAACTCTTCCAAATAAATAATACATCTTTAAAAAAAATCCTTTTCTTTAGTGCACACAGATACCCCTTATTTTCTGAATGACTAATATTCTATACAATCTATGATACTAGATTGTATCTCTACATGAAAAACTTTCAAATATAATGCTTAGCAAAAATCCTTGTTATGAGTCAATACTTCTAAAGGACAGCTATCTGAGAGAAATTTCCAATTTCTATGCATATTTTAAAATTTTGATAATTATTGGTAAATTGCCCTCTCTGAAGATTTGATTAGCTCTCATTTGCAACAAAGAACGGGTTGCCAATTTCTACCATTCTGCTAAAGCTGGACATAATCAACTGTGACATTTTTTGCCACTCTAATAGACACAACTAGTATATTATTATTTTGTAAAGTTTCATTTATTTACTTGAAAGTCAAAATTAGAGAGAGAGAGAGAGATCTTCCAACCACTGGTTTAACTTCCCAAGAGGCTGCAATGGCCAGGGCCATTTTCCTGATCACTAATACACTCAGTGTATTTGGACCTCAAAAATTAATTTAGGGATACAACTTTAATTTTAGATGATTGCAGAGAAATGAGAAAGTAAGCATACATCTTAAGATCAATGAATAATTTTGTTAAAATACCAGAAATTTAATAGCCATGATGAGTTTATGAGAACTGAGTACCAATTAATAAAAACTTAAGTGTACGATTAGTTTTCCCCCTTGCACCTTATGATAGTTTTAAAGGAGTAACATTAGAAATTCTACTTCAGAAAATTAATGTAGGAGCTGTGTGTAACTTTCATGGGAAAAACAAGCAGGGTGCAGACCAAACAACCATAGGCTGATGTTAAGGACAAATATAATGAGAACATAAACTAGAGCAGAAAAAATAGAAATGGAGAAGAGATGCATAGAAACATATTAATTACAGAGCCTAAATGAGAATGCAGAAAGTAATCATATATCAGAAGGAATAACCATATTAATAGTGGAAGAAAAATCCCATCTCCAATCAAACTTGTAAAAACACAGGCACATGCAAATGTCACTTCATCTTAAAAATTCAAATCAAAAGAAGAAAGCACGTGTCTTGGGTACCTGAGAGATCACTGCTTTCAATTCGCCGGAGATCTGAGTCTGCCCAAAAGAGCTTGCCCAACCTGCTATCAAGGGCTAAAGCAATCGGTTTACTTAAGCCACTGAAAAAAAGGACCTCCCGTTCTGTTCCGTCCAAAGCAGCCCGTTCAATTTTGGGAGACCGTTCCTGAAGATTGGTAAAATACATATACCTGAAGACAAAGCAGGAAACAGTAAGTTAACAAAATGCCAAAGTAAAAAAGAAAAACATGAGATTGCTATTAATTAAGACAAATGAAGAGAGAATAACATTTTTAAGTGTTTTAAAATCTATTTTAATGGGTCTTGGGATTGTTACTACTTTTAGTAATAGTGACAAAAAGTGTACACAGAGAAGCTCTTGGAAAGCTAACTGTCTTATGTTAATACAACAGCGTTAGAAGGAAACCTATGCTTTCAGAGTAACAATAAAGTAAGTATCTCCCTACAGAATATCTAATTATTCATTCAGCTATTACTGAGGACTGAATACTCATTAAATGCAAAACTAAAGCTAAAGAGGATGTAGTAGCTCTTCTTCATGAAGGTACCTAAAGTCTAGCAGGGACTGTAAGACTGAAAAACAGGGAAGTGTGAGCTAAAAGGGAAGGACTAAGCATGTGACTAGGGAGAGAGAGTGAGAGCACAGTGGACTCCGAAGGGAAAATCACATTTGGCTGGTGTGGAATAAACCTCCCAGATGCGGCAGTTGAAATGGTTCAGCAGATTCAGATAAAATTTAGAATAAAAAACGAAGTTCTAGGTAGTGTCATCAGTCAAGTACAAGAGAGAGAAAATTGCAGTCAAGGGGCCGGCGCTGTGGCATAGTGGGTTAAGCCTCTGCCTGTGGTGCTGGCTCCTGTCCCAGCTGCTCTTTTTCTGATCCAATTCCTGCTCCTTTTCCGATCCAGCTCCCTGCTATGGCCTGTGAAAGCAGTGGAAGAAGGCCCAAGTGCCTGAGCCCCTGAAACTGCATGGGAGACCCAGATGAAGCTACTGGCTCCTGGCTTCCAATCAGCCCAGCTCCAGCTGTTGTGGCCACTTGGGGAGTGAATCAGCAGACGGAAGACCCTTCTGTCTGTAACTCACTCTCTCAAATAAATAAATCTTTAAATAGAAATGCAGGGGGCCGGCACTGTGGTGCAGCAGGTTAAAGCCCTGGCCTGAAGCGCCGGCATCCCACATGGGCACCAGTTCTTGTCCCGGCTGCTCCTCTTCTGATCCAGCTCTCTGTTATGGCCTGGGATAGCAGTGGAAGATGGCCCAAGTCCTTGAGCCCCTGAACATGGGAGACCCGGAAGAACCTCCTGGCTCCTGGCTTTGGGTCAGCGCAGCTCCAGATGGAAGACCTCTCTGTCTCTACCTCTCTCTGTGACTGTCTTTCAAATACATAAAATAAATCTTTAAAAAAAAAAGAAAGAAAGAAAGAAAGAAAGAAAGAAAGAAAGAAAGAAAGAAAGAAAGAAAGAAAGAAAGAAAGAAAGAAAGAAATGCAGTCAAGTGGATGAAGAATGTCTAGTTATTCCCTGGAATAACTTCAAGATAAATAACAGACTGGAAAGGAAGGTGGAGGGGGCTTCAGAGGTCAAGACATCTGACAGCCTCTTTGGGAACTTACCCTCTCTCTGGATTCACCACAATGGCTCGAGGTCTGTCTTGCTCGCCTTTCAGCACCACTCCAATAGACCTGCCATCCAGTCTGGTTACATTAATGACATTGGTAGCCTCACAAGTCCAGTAGATGTAGCGGCTATAAATATCAATGCTGAGATCATAGGGCTGTATTTCTAGGTTCTGATTCGGAACTGAGCTCACAACCACTGTAAAGCCCTAAGGAAAAAAAAAAAAGACACACACAGACTATGAGAGTCTATGCCAGACAGTCCTGAGGCAACCGCTACAGCGCTTACTACACCTCTGGGGTCACACACCCAAGAGATGCCTCAAGTCTTGAAGAGCATTTCTTGCTAATGTATTTTTGACAGATACTGTGCTTTTCTGTTGACATGCATCTCAAATGTTCCCTTGGGTTAGTATGATATGGGACCTGAAGAGAGAACTGTGGCAAGACTGGCTGCTCCAAGAAGCTGATAATGCTGTGATTGGACAAGGAAGCTGTTTCTTGTAAATTGGAACAATGGCTACAACCACAACCTAGAAATACCTCTATAGCGGCAGTAATCTACCAGGAGTGATTCTACCTCCCACAAAGGCATTTGGCAGTGGTTAGAGACATTTTTGATGGTCATGATTACTGGGGGTGTTAACTGGCCATCAAGTGGGTAGAGGACAGGGATGCTACTAAATATCCTACAATGCATAACAGCAGACAAAAGTTCTTGGAACGCTAATGTTCCACAACAAAGAATTATTCAGCCCCAAATGTCACTGGTGCTGCATTTAAGAAAACACTGCTCTACAGATGACAGCAACTAGTCAGGGCTACAAATTCAACCTTTCATTCATCTCTTTCTTTAATCCTCAAAGCTATCAAAAGTTAAAATAAAAAATTCTGTCATGAGGCCGGTACAGTGGGTTAATGCCCTGGCCTGAAGCTCTGGCATTCCGTATAGGTGCTGGTTCAAGACCTGGCTGCTCCACTTCCAATCCAGCTCTCTGCTATGGCCTGGGAAAGCAGAAGATGGCCCAAGTCCTTGGGCCCCTACACTCACGTGGGAGACCTGGAGGAAGCTCCTGGCTTCAGATCGGCGCAGTTCCGGCCGTTGCGGCCAACTGGGGAGTGAACCATAGGATGGAAGACCTCTTTCCCAATCTTTCTCTGCCTCTCCTCTCTCTGTAACTCTAACTTTCAAATAAATAAATAAATCCTTAAAAAATAAAAAAAAATTCTTTTATAAAGCCAAAGGGAAAAAAAGATTTTTGCTATTCTGCTCTATCTGAATAAATTATATTCTACTTATTCGCTATCTCTGAGGAAACATATTCCTTAATAAGGTTACATAATTGGTTTGCCATGTCCTATAATTTCTATGTAGCAGTTATCAGCCCATTAGTCCCGGCCTACACAGTACACGGATACATCTGGAATATACAGCTATGTCTATACCTCTCAGAAGCCTTAAGTATATCACTGTCATTGTTCTTCACTGTGATAAGACATAGAAAGGAAAAAAAAATTTAATCCCCCTAAATTTTAATACATCTAAAAATCCCACTTAAAATCACTGCTCTCAGGAAGATGACAAATAACTACTTATAGCAAACCTAGTATAACATTGGCTGCAGGGAATCTGGAGACTAGTATGGAAATCTATAACTAGCTTGGAAGCATAGGTACGATTGCCAATATCCTCATTTCCACCCCCTAGTCACCAAGGAGGATGTACCAACAGCATTTCCTAGATGTTCTTAATTTGACTGAGGGTGTCTGTGTTTTCCATCCTCTGAAACTTTTAAGTAACAGTTCACAGGCAATTTAACTGTTATTTATTGAGTTCCTACTACATAAACAGCTAAGGGCTATGTACTTTAGACTCCTTTTAGGTTAAAAAAAAAAAAAAGAAACAAAACTGTAACACCCTAGTGAGTGTCAGAGCCGGGGATCAGAACAAAGACCTATTTGATTTCAAAGCTCCTAACTCTCCATACGATGGAACCACAAGGAAAAGTCTATATAAACCGATGTGGGCAGCAAGGAAAAAGGCACTGCCAATGCACAGTCTTAAGGTATCCTAATATAATGTTCATGCCAATACCATCATCAAACCATTGCTTACTCATAGAAAAGATCAGGAAGTTACAAAAGGTATTATGTACACAAGTTCAGTTCAGACACACAGAGACATTCACATTCACAAAAGCAGAGTCAAGTAAAACTGGGTGTTCGGCTCACCCAGTTACCAGTCAGAAGGAATGGATTTTGAACTGAGCCCTGAAGTACCTGGCTGCCATCCTCTTGTGCCTTTCGGATCATGTTTTGTCGTGAGTCAATCCAATAGAGTTGCTTGTCCAGGGGGTCATAGTCAATGGCCCGGACGTTCCGAAGGCTGTGGATAGGAAGGATGATGTCAGGACTCTGCTGTTCATCAATCACCATGCGGTTGATGGCACTCTTTTGACTGAAGAGCAGGAAGGTGGTAGGAGCTTAAAGAAAAAAAAGAACAAATCCGAAATACAGTTACTCTAAGTCTCAGAGCAGCCAACGATTTGGTCAGCTGTTGTATACATCACATACAAAACAGACACACGTATGGAAGAGGAAAGACTGAGGAAATACTCTTTTGGCATGCTCCAATTCAGTCCTCAGGGGGCACTAAATAGCACTTTGGATACCTAATCAGTTATGAATTTACCCATTGACACAGCCGACTAGCCCACTTTTCTCTGTCTTGTACAAAGAGATACCACAGGAATCTTGATTTCAACGAGATATTTGGTAAAGGTAACAAAATTCTCCTGGTCTACTAACTGAATAAACCTACCCCTCCTTATGTATTCTTGTCTGTGGTGCCTAGAAGAATACCTGGGCTTCCACAAGTCAAAGCAGAAACCTTAAGATTGGTTTCATCTTAGCTTTCTCACCATCTAGTCATCTGATCTTTTTTTAAATTTTTTAATTTCAATTTGACAGATATAGTTAGATATATATTTGACAGATATAGTTAGACAGTGAGAGAGACAGACAGAAAGGTCTTTCTTCCGTTGGTTCACCCCCCAAATGGCTGCTACGGCCAGCGCACTGCGCCGATCTGAAGCCAGGAGCCAGGTGCTTCTTCCTGGACTCCCATGTGGGTGCAGGGCCCAAGCACTCAGGCCATCCTCCACTGCCTTCCTGGGCCACAGCAGAGAGCTGGCCTGGAAGAGGGGCAGCCAGGACTAGAACCCGGCGCCCACATGAGATGCCGGTGCCACAGGCGGAGGATTAATCAAGTGAGCCACAGCGCCAGCCCCTAGTCATCTGATCTTAACTGTAAATAGGTCTTACATAAATATGAAATGAAAACAACTTGTATTCTTAGCAGCGACAGCAGCAATATACTTGGTATTAACAGGAATTAAACAAGTTTTCATGGATTATACATATAGATTTTCTTTTGTTTAGTATATATGTGATGGCTGCAGGAAGAGAGAGCAGGTAAAAATTACCAAAAACCTACTAACAATAGATGCTCTGCACCCATTACTGCTAATCTTTTTAATATACTGTGTGTTTGTATTTTCACTAAAAAATATTCTGCTTTGATGCTAGGGTGACACCCTAAATTTTTTCCTTTCGCAGGGACTAGGCCTCTGATGACTAAGTGGTCATCGTTCATATGAGAAAAACATCTAGAAAACAACAGCATTTCATAATGCTGCCATCGATGTTAAAGTCTCCATAAAACACAACTGTCCCCTACCCGACTCTGCTTATCTGCAGGATATGTTCTAAGGCCCCCAGTGGATGCCTGAAACTGCAGATAGTATTTGACCTCATATGTACTGTATTTTCTACTAAATATATACCTATGTAAAATTTAATTTATAAATTAGGCACAATAAGAAATTAACAACTAATAAGTAAAAAATTATAGCAACATATAACAAAATCACCAGCATCAGTATTCTTGTACTTTGATGCATTATTAAGTAAAATAAGTGTTTATTACATACAGGCACAGCTATACTGCAAGAGCTGGTCTGATACCTAATCAGTGATTAACAGACAAGTAGTACACACAGTGTAGACTCATTGGACAAAGGGATGATCTGTGTCCCATGTGGGACAGTGAGAGATTCATCAGGCTACTCAGAATGGTATGCAATTTAAAACTTACGAATGGTTTACTTCTGGAATTTTCTATTTAATTTTTTCTATTTTATTTTTATTTCACAGGCAATAGAGAAAGCCAGAGCCAGAGCCAGAACCAGACATCTTCTATCCCCTAGTTTACTCCTTTTATGCCCAAAAGAGTGAAGGTTGAGTTGTGCAAGAGCCAGGAGCTGAGAACTTACTCCAGGTTTTTTTGTCCCATGTGGGTGGACAGGACCCATGCACTGAAGTCATCCCCTGCTGCCTTCCAGGGTGTGCACTGAGCAGGAACAGAGCTGGGACTGTGCTAGGCGCTCCAATGTGTCATATATCTTAACCTCTGTGCCAAATGCCTGGAAAGAGCTCATGTTTTTTTCACTGTGGTTGACCATGGTTAACTAAAACCATGGAAAGTGAAACCATGGATAATGAGGGACTACTGTGTATCTATAAATTCCATAACTATATACTCTTCTCTTGGTTCTCGTTATCACTCAAATCCAGTAAAATTTTGTTATTCTCAGGGATATAAAATATAAATAGCCAGGCCAGGACTCCCCGCTTTGCTTTATTTCTCCCTCAGCCTGTTCTCCATTGCTCCATTACTTGTGGTTCCTCAGCTTACCTAACACTTACACTCAAATGTAGATTACCTTAAATTCCAAAGGAACCTAGTGGTACTCAGAGAAACATGGTATTTACAATACTGAAACTGCTCTATTTAAGATCCTCATTAATCAAAAGTCCACAGCTACCTGGAAGATTTACAAAGTATCCTACTAATTTTTCTAGAAATTTCCACTAGTTGGAGTCCATCACGTAATGATTTAAACAATTTTTAGCAGTTTACTTGAGTTTATGCCTTAAGTAATAAGAAGACATTTCACACAGAGAACTTAAAAGTATCTCACCACTGTTTTTAATACTTTTTTAGGGGGCTGACATTGTGGTGCAGCAGATTAAGCAATGCCAGCATCCCTTATGGGTGTCAGTTTGAGTCCTGGCTGCTTTACTTCTAATCCAGCTCCCTGCCAATGAGCTAGGAAAGCAGCACAGGATGGCCCAAGGGCTTGGGTCCCCGAATCTATATGGGAAATGCGGATGGAGTTCTAGGCTCCTGGCTTTGGTCTGGCTGTTGCAGCCATTTGGGCAGTGAACCAGTGGATGGAAGATTGCTCTTTCTCTTTGTTTCTCTCCCTCCTTCCCTCTGCAACAGCTTTTCAAATAAATAAATCTTGAGAGAGAGAAAGATCTCAGAGTTTTAGTTCCCAAATTTCTGGTCTGGGAAGCAATAAAGCAGTATCACCTGCTCTCTCTCACGTTTGGCTTCTACCATATTTGGCTGGGTGTACATTTTTTTTTCTCAAGTTTTAACCTTCACTGGGATTCCAAAATTAGGTGTGGATCTTGTGGTTCTAGAAATATGGATTAAGATAAAACCAAAAGTGTCTCCAAATAAATTTATCTTACAGAAAGTCTGCTCAAAGCCATTAACAATTACAATTTACTGGCTCAATATTTTAAAAGGAAGTTCATGTTTTCGCTTATTTACAAGTCAGTCAGTGCTTAAAATGACACAAAACATGCCAATTTAAAAGCCTAAATCCATTCTATCCAATTTACATGAACTAACCACCACTCCCATATCTCCTTAATGGTGTTTTAAAAACTGCTACAGGTTTTCTGAGTCTTGCATTCCTTCAATGAAGACAACATGCAGAAGTTAGAGGATGAGTTTAAGTAGGTGGAAGCCTTTCAACTCTCACATGAAGGCATAAATGTTCACCTGTAGCTTAAAGGCAGGGTTCAGTAGGAATAAACTACAAGGCCAAGCCCACCATGTAGGAGTACCCATCTGTGCACAACTGCGGGGTTGAAAACTAACACATCCACTGGGCTAAAACTGCTCCCCAGTGAACAGCTCTTCCCAATTTGCACAAAGATGCCACAGAGGCCACTTCTGTACAGGACAAAGAATTCTACAATTTGGCTTCCCATTTCCTGTTTGACTTAACCTCCCTTTATGCACTCTGTTTCAGCAACAATGGCCACCTAGGTGTTCCTCTAACATGTGACACACGTTCTCCCCTTGGGCCTCAGCTGCCCCCTTCTGCCTGACAGGTATCTTCTCCCAGGTAACCATGCAGCTGGCTGATTTCCTCACCTCCTTTAATTCCTGACAGAAAGTCACTTTGTTCATCTTATTTAGCACTGCCAACCCTTTCCTCCACTATCCTTTCTCGCTCAATACTTACTACCACTCAGCCCCTGAAATAGTTTACTTACCTCAGTATCTGTCCCAGTGGAATGTAAACTCTGTTAAGACAGGGATTTATGTCCATTCCATTCACTGTCATATTTAGCACTGGCTGAGACAATGCTTAGTTTTAAAATCTACTTCTATATGCCTTTCACCATTATTTCCTTGAAATCACTCTCTTCAATGTTCTAATAACCACTTTACCCCAAAATTCAGCAGATGCTGTTTTACATCTGACCCTACTCAAACTCTAACATTCAATACAGCTCTTTTGTCAAACAACCTTACTCTCTTCTGTGCCTGAATTCCTGTTTTTCCTCTCACGTCATTGGCTGCTACCTCTCAGGTCCTGCCTAACACTTGCCCATGGTTCCTTAGGTCACCAGGTCCCTTGTTTTCTCTCCACCAGAGTAGGCATACTATGGCTCCCAAGCCAATTCTAGCCTGCTCTCTGCTCTGGAAGGAAGGTTTACTGGACTTCAACCAGGTTTGTTTTAGAAATGCACTGTCTAGGGCTGCTCTCGTGCTACAGCAGACAGAACTGGCAGAGCCAAGTAGGTATCAAAGAGCCCTCACATCCACAAAGCCTAAAATATTTGCTTTCTGGCCCTTTAGAAAATAAGTTTTCTGGCTCCTGCATTATACCTAGGCAATCTCTCATTTCAAATGCATCCTGACAATTTCACAACTAGTACTCCCAACTCCACCTCTCTCCGCTATCTACTATTTCACCTATCTTCCTTGCTTCTTTTTTTTCCTCCCCACATACTAGCCATTACTGTTATGTTCATTCTAGTTCCAACATATATCTTGAATGCATCATCATCTCTCCATCACCACACTTACAACACGGCACAAGTCTATCTGCATCACCACACTACTCTTAATATGGATTTCAAGACTGAGTGAGAAAATGATCTGTAACGTTTGGCACATGCTCACTTGGACTTACCCCTAATAGTAGAGCTAGAAATGTGTCATGGGACTCCAAATCCCATTATGTTGGCAGGTACCAATGCCTACTTACTGGTTAAAGTGACCAGTTTAGTTCATAATTGATCATAAAGATAGGATTAAGTGTCAAAAGGATAACATAAACAAGACCAGTGTCTGCTAATAATAACTGATAGAATTAAAAAGGAGAAGCAGGATACACAGCAGACTCATAGAATGACAGATGCCCTAAACAGCACTCTGGCCTCAGAATCAGCCCTGAAGGCATTCAGATCTGACTGACTAAAAAGCCCATGAGAGTATCTCAGGCATGGAAAGCCAAGACACTCTGGCAAAAAAAAAAAAAAAAAAAAAAAGACTTAAATGAAAGATCTCTGTGAGCGAGATCCCAGTGGAAAGAATGGGCCATCAAAGAAGGAGGTACTTTTCTCTGAAGGGAGGAGAGAACTTCCACTTTGACTATGGCCTTATCTAAATAAGATCAAGAGGCTTCATAGCCCTGGCAGCTCCTGACAAGAGCCTGGGGTGATTACTGCCGTCATAAATAAAGGTGTCAATTGTTAAATCAACAACAGGAGTCACTGTGCACTTACTCCTCATGTAGGATCTATGTACTTAATGTGTTGTACTATGCAAATTAACGGTAAAACTAATATTTAAACAGTACTTTATGCTTTGTGTGGGTGCAAACTGTTGAAATCTTTACTTAGTATATACTAAGTTGATCTTCTGTATATAAAGATAATTAAAAATGAATCTTTTTTATTTTTTTGACAGGCAGAGTGGACAGTGAGAGAGAGAGAGAGAGAGAGAGAGAGAGAGAAAGGTTTTCCTTTGCTGTTGGTTCACCCTCCAATGGCCGCCGCGGCCAGCACACCGCGCTGATCTGAAGCCAGGAGCCAGGTACTTATCCCGGTCTCCCATGGGGTGCAGGGCCCAAGCACTTGGGCCATCCTCCACTGCACTCCCTGGCCACAGCAGAGAGCTGGCCTGGAAGAGGGACAACCGGGACAGAATCCGGCACCCCGACCGGGACTAGAATCCGGTTTGCCAGCGCCGCAAGGCGGAGGATTAGCCTGTTGAGCCACGGCGCCGGCCCTAAAAATGAATCTTAATGAAGAATGGGATGAGAGAGGGAGTAGGAGATGGGATGGTTTGCAGGTGGGAGCGTGGTTATGGGGGGAAAAACTGCTATAATCCAAAAGTTGCACTTTCAAAATTTATATTAAATAAAAGTTTTAAAAAAATAAATAAATTTTATCAAAAAAAAAGGAAAGAAAATTATCTGTAACCTCAGCTAAAAGTAGCACGGCCAGCTGTGTGCACAGCACATGTTCTCTAAGAGTTCCTCACCTACTGCTTACGGTTTTATACTGCAATTAAATTTTATCACATACATTTTCTGCCTGCTCTTAAACAATCACATTTTTTGTTTGTTCTATTCTGTGTAATTCAAAAAACAAGGAGGTTATTTTTTAGGATTCTCTTTGTTGTACTGTTTATACTGCTCTTCCTTTCCCTTAAAATGAATAAATACAAATTATGTATAGCACACATGTGTGACTTTGTCCCTTTCAATGATGCTATGTAAATTTGCACTAAATATATTTCATGCCCAAAGGTTGCTATCATCAAACAAGTTACAAAAACTTACATTTTGCCCCCTTTAGCCCTTCTCTTTTAATTATACAAATGATGAGCTCTTCACTGCCAATTACCCTAGAAAGAATAACTTAAAGCACTTTCAAAATGCTGCTTTATTTTCTCATTCTGGCATGCTCTGGCAGGAAATGCAACTTACCACTACAAGTTCTGTTGTCAGCATTAAGAGAGTAGTGGGCAGGGCATCCACAAACAAAACCTCCAACTGGCACAGCCAAGCAAAGGTGGGAGCAGTGCCCATTGCTGGAAGCACATTCATTCCACCCCGCCTGCCGAGAGGAGTGAAAAACGAGGATGTCCATCACATAATCCAAATGGCCCTGAATGATGGTGCGGTTTTGGCCGCTGGTTTTGTTGGCACGCTCAATGCTGCGTCGGCTCCAGTCCGTCCAGTAGATGTAATCTTGGTATTGAGTTAAGCCAAAAGGATGAGGCAAGTCATCTGCTATAACTTCACGGTTGAGTCCTATTTTTGGAAAGGCAGTAGATGGGGAAGAAGCAGAGGGATGCAATACGGGTGAATGTCAGTGTCTTCTTGGTCAATAATATTAACAAAAATAATGAAATAACATGACATTAATCTGCAAGCAATTTAAAATACAACAATTCAATAAAAAGTAATTCTAAACCCAGATCAGTCACCATCTACTGTCTGACCCCATGCCTTAAATTTAACCCTCCTGTTATAAATCATCGAGTTTGTTTAAACTTCTACAAATGCACTACTGTGATTCTGTTTTTATTTTCTCTACTTAAGAATCTACGGTTCAACTTTTTTTCTTCCTTCCATAAAGATGGAAATACATATATTGTATTTCACTGGTCACTTCAGGACTACCTACGGAGTTGTAAGTATTACTACAAGCCCAAAAATAATGAAATTTTCACCCAATAAAGAGATATGAATCCAAGAACTAGAACCATTACTATTACTCATAAGCAGGATGTAATTCTATAATAGGAAAAGAACCTAGACATTCCTCCAAAGCTTTAAGTATCTAGCCAACACTGAATAGTAGCCACTGATTTTTGCATAAAGAAAATATTCTGCAGCTGAATAAAAAATAATAAAGCTTACCAAGCATATTTGAAGATTCTATTAAGTTGGTATCCAGGTCTGTCCAATAAAGCCTCCTTTTGGCATAATCAATAGTTAGGCCATTTGCCCGCCCCACATTGGGAACTAATGTAGTACGTTCACTTCCATCCATAGCAGCTCTGTCTATCTTGGGTTTTCCACCCCATTCAGTCCAATACATAAATCTAAAAGGAAAACAATATTTAATATTTCACTTTTGAATACCTAGAAGAAAGGGCCATATTCATAGACATTAGCTAGAGGAAAAACAAAGAAAATACATGGTAAATCAAGGAAATGGGTAAAACAAAGTCATGGCTACAATTCTTTTAATTATTTTGGCACCTTCAACTAAGTATCTTTTTCTCACATCCAAAAAGGGAAGTGAGTCAGCTTTCCTCAGTCTTTCCAGTGAATTTGTTCCATCCAGACCTAGGAATTGGAAATAAACCAATGGTTTCTTTTTTGCAGCACTGGCATTTATAAAACTAATATTTAAGAAAACAGCAAAGGATTAAAGCTTTAGTTTTAAGAATCCGGTTCACCTCTAAATAAAATATCTTATGCATTTCTGAATACAAGAAGCTTAAGTTTTTAAAAGCTGAACTAATTTTCAACTTGTATAATCAAGTTTCCCCCAAAGCTGCAGTAGTACATCAAATGCAAACATGAATAATGTCTTTAAATGAAGTGAAAAGCAAAGCTTCGGGTTGGCACTGTGGCTTAGTGGGTAATGCTGCGACCTGCAGTGCAAGCATCCCATATGGGCGGTAGTTCGAGTCCCAGCTGCTCCTCTTCTGATCCAGCTCTCTGCTATGGCCTGGAAAAGCAGCAGAAGATGGCCCAAGTCCTTGGGCACCTGCACCAGAGTGGGAGACCCGGAAGAAGCTTCTGGCTCCTGGCTTCGGATCAGCACAGCTCTGGCCACTGCAGCCAACTGGGGAGTGAACCAGTGAATGGAAGACCTCTCTCTCTCTGCCTCTCCTTCTCTCTCTGTATAACTGACTTTCAAGTAAAATAAGTAAATCTTTTAAAAAAAGCAAAGCTTGACAACATATTTGATCCCAAGTCTAAAGGAAAATGCTACATAAAGACAACCAATGAGTCACCCCTTGAAGGAATGAATGTTGACTACTATAATCCCTGTGAAATTTAGAAAGTTCTTTTGCTTATATTTTACTTTTTTCAGTTCCCTCTAATTTTAGAGCAATCGTTCAGCATAGGCATTTCATAGATGAGGATGCCAAAGCCCTGTAAGAAGTATGAATGCCTTGTGTTTTCAAGTCAGTTACATGGCAGACCTTAACCAAATGCCCTTTCCACTAAAATAGTAAGGGGCTAGTTGTTGAGACACTCTGAATACTGGCACTGGGAAAGTACTCCACATGCCAGCTCTCATGAAACACCTGTGGACAGACACACTCTCATCAGCCTGTCACCTGGGATTCGACTTGGTAGCAGTGTATGAACATGCTTTTCTGAAAATTAAAGTTGTCCTAGGCTTTGTTTGCATTTGCACTTGTCAGTTGACAGGCAAAAGCACAACCCAAGAGCCACAGAGCAAACAAGCGTGAGGGAAATTTCACACTTGCCATCAGCAACCTGCACTGGAGCCTGCAGTCCCCACTATTAAGTGTATCTGCCCGGCAACTAATACTGAGAGCAAAGATCACCACATTCCCACCACAGTATGTCAGCAGTGGCTCTGAAGTGGTCCTGGAACTAAATGAGTAACTAGCACATCAGGGAATTAATGTGGTGGTGTCAGAGAAAGTATTTTTAATTATGGATACAGTAATTACACATATTTAAATGTGCATACTGTTGGTTTCTTTTAAAAAAGGAATTTTTCATTAAATTTTGGTTTCATGGCCAGCTATTTAGTTTGCTGACTCTTCTAAGAAGGATCATCTACCCTTGAAAAACACATCATGTTGTAAACAAACAGTTCAGTCTGTATCATAATACCCAGGTTTCTCCAAGTTTATAACTGTCCTCTTTAAATTAATACTCTAACCTGGAGGGTTTTTAACAAATAGTAGTCTACCTCTTATTCACAGGGGATCCATTCAAGGCTCCCACTGGTACCTGAAACCACAGATAGTACCAAATCTATAGATAATACATTTTTTCTATACATACATATCCATGATAAATTTCAATTTACAAATTAGACACAGGAGATTAACAATAATAAATAGAATAATTACAATATACTATAACAAAAGTTATTTAAAATGTATGAACTGTTTATCTCTGGAATTTCTCACTTAACATTTAGTTATCTGATCAACCAGGGTAACTAAAAATATGCAAAGCAAAAATGCAGATAAGAGTGGACCGCAATAGTGACCCTTAGCCCACAAACAGTTTCAGTGGGTTTAGTACAGCAGGTTTACAATCTAGTGTAACAGGGGGAGAGGCTATAAGCAAATATAGGCTGCAAATACCTCAAAAAAGGCCGCTCACTTAGTATATAAACACTAATCAACAGTATTTATTAATTCATTTCATTTTCTTCACCCAGCGTTAATAATGACAAAAGCAAAATCGAGCTCATAATTCCTCATTCTAAACCAGTAAAATCTCAATAGTTTCAAATATAGCCTATCTGTTATTTTGTTGTCAAATCCACATGCATTATTTATAGATCTCAAGAATATAATCCAGGATGGCGCCACGGCTCACTAGGCTAATCCTCCACCTTGCGGCACCGGCACACAGGGTTCTAGTCCCGGTCCGGGCGCCGGATTCTGTCCTGGATGCCCCTCTTCCAGGCCAGCTCTCTGCTGTGGCCAGGGAGTGCAGTGGAGGATGGTCCAAGTGCTTGGGCCCTGCACCCCATGGGAGACCAGGATAAGTACCTGGCTCCTGCCATCGGATCAGCGCGGTGCTCCGGCTGCAGCGGGCCGGCCGCGGCGGCCAATGGAGGGTGACCCAACGGCAAAAGGAAGACCTTTCTCTCTGTCTCTCTCTCTCACTGTCCACTCTGCCTGTCAAAAAATTTTAAAAAAATAAAAAATAAATAAAAAAAAAAAGAATATAATCCGTAACTAGGCCATGTTCCTCAAAATGGGCAATGAAGCTGTAAAGGACAATACATAAAGCTATTATTTACCCTTCAGCAGGGTCCAATGCTAGAGCTCTGGGGCTATCTAGATCTTTCCACACCAAAACCTGTCGATGTTGCCCATCCAACTTTGACACCTCAATTCGATTTGTTCCTGTGTCTGCCCAGTACAAGTTCTTCCCTAGCCAGTCCACAGCCATGCCTTCTGGATAGTCCAAGCCGAATTCTACCACATGTTCCAGTGCACTGCCATTCATGAAGGCTCTGCTGATGGTCTGCAAAAATAAAATGAACAAGTCAGTCACATGGCTTACGAATCGAGCACAATTCAGAAACAAGGTCTGAACTGCTTTCTGTTGGGAACAGGATAGTTCATAAGCACCAATGTCTCTTAACAACGTTGACAAAATTTATATGCATACATAAATATACTAATCTCTACTAAACACAACTGTGATCTCAAATTTTATTGTCAATTCAGTTGAAACTGTTAAGAACCAAAAATCAATTCTTCAAAAAAAAAAAAAAAAAAAAAAAAGGTAACAGAGTGATTCTTCTTTTAATTCTTCTTTTAGCAGTAATCAAGTGCAAAAGATCTGACCAGAATGCTGTAGACTCTTTACTGGTAGTCAGCTTTCCAAAGTATGTGAGTATGCCAAGTCATTGATTCAATCCGAGAAACTCTAAATAACCTTATAAATCGGAATAGCCATTACTATCCATTAGTACCACTAAAGCTTTGCATTCCAAAGAATTTGAAACCACCACATTTTAAGCTATTTATAACAGATGCTACTTCCTGTTGAACACGGGTTAAGTACTCTGTGCCCACAGATTTTCTCACCTAATACGCTCAACAGCCCTGCAAGACCGGCAGCACCTCAGCTGCAGAATGAAGGAACTTAGAAGGCCCCCCAGTAAAAGCCAAGATTTACTTATGTACTTCATTTATTCACTTGCTCAATAAAATTTACTAAATATGACTAGAATCCAACTCTCTGTGGGTCCTACGCCCATGCTTTTGCATATTAGATAAAAGTTTATGTACATTATCCAAACCAAGCCCGAATCACTGCAGAAGAAGAAGAGATATTCTCCAGATTCTCTGGTCAGGAACTTCCCCCTCTATCCTTGTATGTTTTTCAATATTTATTTTAGAAAGAAGAAAATAAAGATACACTATCATTTTAAAGTGGTCTTTTCTTTTAAAAAATAATGTGTTTATTTATTTGAAAGGGAGAGTGACAGTGAAAGAGGGAGAGGAGGAGAAAAGAGAGACCTTCCATCCTTTGGTTCACTCCCCCAGTGCCTGCAGCAGCCAGCCAGGGGGCTAGAGCTGTGGTATAGTGGGTAAAGCCACTGCCTGAGGCATCAGCATCCCATATGGGTGCCGGTTCAAATCCTGGCTGCTCCACTTCCAATCCAGCTCCCTGCTAATGGCCTGAGGAAGCAGCAGAAGATGGCCCAACTCCTTGGGCCCCTGCACAAATAAAGGAGACCTAGAAGAAGCTTCTAGCTCTTGCCTTTGGACAGGTCCAGCTCCGGCTATTGTGGCCATTTGGGGAGTGAACCAGCAGATCAAAGATTTCTGTCTGTCAGTCTGTCTCTAACTCTTTCAAATAAATAAATAAATCTTTAAAAACTATGCAAAACAAAACAAAAAACAGCTAGCCAGGGATGGACCACACTAAAGCCAGGAGCTAGAAACTCAATGCTGGCCTCCCAGTGGGTGGCAGAAACCCAAGAATTTGGGCCATCATGTGCTGCTTCCCAGGCACACTGGCAGAAGTTGCATCAGAAGCATAGTAGCCAGGACTCAAATGAGCATGTCACATGGGATGCTGATGTCCCAAGCAGCAGCTTAACCCACAGTACCACAACGCCTGCCCTGATAACTGGCATTAACAACCTCAGTCAGGCTCCAAAATTCTGTTTCAAATAAGTCAAGAGCCAAGCCTCTATAAGCTGTTTTATGTGAAGCATACTACTATTTACTCAGCTAATTACAGAAAACATCACTCATCATCTTCATGTGGAACAAACTAGAGGGAGGTTATTTCTTGCAGATTTAGAACACTAGCAAAATATCTTGCATTAAAAGGTACCTAACGAAATACTGAATGGGCCTTTCTCGTCACTCCTTAAAAAAGTTAAAAAAGGGTTTCTGCTGAACTCTACCTAGCAAGCAATGAGGGAGATTGGTCACAGTACAAAGATTCAGACACTTTAGAAGTCCTCTTTTTAGTCACTCATTCTTTCGCTAACCTTGAGTGATATATCAGTCCAGTAAATTCGATTGTCTGTCACATCAAAATCCAAAGCAGAAGCTTCTTTGACGCCAGTGAGTGGAATGGCCACATTATTATTATTTGTTTCCAAAGAAATCCGTCTGATATCGGCTCTCCGTGAAAACAAAAGAAAAGCCTCTGGGACAATGCAGGTCTTCATGTCACTGATGAGCTCAAAGCCAATGGGGCAGGCACAGCGAAGGCCCTGAGGTCTATACAGGCAAAGATGGCTACAGCCCCCATTTTCCTCAGCACAAGGGTTCGATCCTAAAAGAGAAGGGAGTGATGAGGGGCACAAAAGCACCAACACTGACAAAAACCAACATTTTCACTTGAAAATTAGTTAGGTATCTGGTTCACAAAGACCTATGATTGTATGCATCTGCTTTCAATCTGGAGTTTCAATTCTAATCTCAAAATCAAGCAATATTAAGATTAGTCGAGAGTGAAAGTACAATGAAACACTTGCTTTTTTACCCTTAGAATGCTTTAAAATAAATTGCATTATTCATATATAGAATTAATTTTTTGATGACAGCATTCAAGTGTCTATGTATCTATTTGTAGCCATTCCAGCTGTTGAAGCCAGAGTTTGAAGTCAGCATTTAGAAGATCCCCTTCTGATAACAAAGGGGGAGGGGTTTAAACAGAAATTCTCTATTGTCTTATATCACAACATTCACAACTTACACTGTTGATTTACAGCTACCATCTCCTTCTCTCATTCCTGGTCTCTACTTCTAAGTAAATTCTGGAATCACTTACCAATGATTCGATGAACATTCGTGGCCTTCAGGCCCATGAGGTCAGGCAGCTGATCTATGATGATTTCCCTCTCTGCACTTCGCTTGTGTACTCTTTCGATGCTACGTCGTTGCCAGTCAGTCCAGTAAACGTAGTCACCCAACAGAGTGAATCCAAATATGTGAGGAATCTTGTCTTCCACCAGTACTCGTCTTCCAGTGCCATCGGTATTCATAACCTTCAAGTTTAAGTTCAGAGACAGAGAGAAGGATGAGGTATGTACTTTTCCTTTCAGGGTATGTGAAAATGATGAATCTATTGCCTGTTACATTAAAACCCAAGAGGCATCTAAGATATTCTTATAACAATGTTTTCACAAAATTATAACACGATAATTTTTTAAAAATATTTTTGAAAGTACCCTTAGGTACTTTCGCTCTTTTTCTTTTTTTTTTTTTTCTTTTTTAACGGGCAGAGTGGACAGTGAGAGACAGAGACAGAGAGAAAGGTCTTCCTTTTCCGTTGGTTCACCCCCCAATGGTCGCTACAGCCGGCGCACCGATCTGAAGCCAGGAGCCAGGTGCTTCTCCTGGTCTCCCATGGGGTGCAGGGCCCAAGCACTTGGGCCATTCTCCACTGCACTCTCGGGCCACAGCAGAGAGCTAGACTGGAAGAAGAGCAACCAAGACAGAATCCGGCACCCCAACCGGGACTAGAACCCGGGGTGCCAGCACCGCAGGCAGAGGATTAGCCTATTGAGCCGTGGCGCCAGCCTGTAACACGATGATTTAATGAGAATGATTTCAAATATTCAACGTAAGCTCAAATAACTATTTGATCTTTCCTCCAACTATTACTCGTCCTTCTAAAAATTCTGGCAACTTTAGATTTAGGATGAAACCCTTCTCTTAAATAACTGTCAAAATTAAAAATACACTAACTTCACCTTTCTTGTACATCTGTTTTCAAATTATATCTTCACACACATATCACATATTTTGTTTGTTTGTTTGTTTTTGACAGGCAGAGTGGACAGTGAGAGAGAGAGAGAGACAGAGAGAAAGGTCTTCCTTTGCCGTTGGTTCACCTTCCAATGGCCGCCGCAGCTGGTGCGGCCGGCGCACTGTGCCGATCCGAAGGCAGGAGCCGGGGTGCTTATCCTGGTCTCCCATGGGGTGCAGGGCCCAAGCACTTGGGCCATCCTCCACTGCACTCCCTGGCCACAGCAGAGAGCTGGCCTGGAAGAGGGGCAACCGGGAAAGAATCCGGTGCCCTGACCGGGACTAGAACCCGGTGTGCTGGTGCCCCAAGGCAGAGGATTAGCCTAGTGAGCCGCGGGTGCCGGCCACATATTTTGTTTTATAATGTATTTTATCCTGCAAAGTATACCTTTTTAATATTTAAGAAAAGCAAGATTCCTATAAAGTCATGCATCTTGTTTTCAGAGTTAACACCTGTTTTGGGACCCCTTCCACTTAGCATACTTTTTCATTCTTACTGGAGCAACAACAACAAACAGATAAAAGTGCTCTCATTAAACCCCTCACTCCCCTGAAGTTATAATCACAAAGTATCTGCAGTTTACTAAATCCTTTCTGTAACTATGCTTCAGAAAATAAGGATGTACCTACCCTTCCCAATTACTCCAAAGCAACATTACTGAATTCTGACACTCACATTGTAGCAACACGCACTGTTGTGTTCTAAGAGAGAGTTCAAGTCCCCAACAAAGGGCACTTCTACCATTCAAAATGTCTTGTGTACAAGACAAATGAGCCTTCAAAAGTGCTAAAAACATATACATGCAAACAAAACCTGACCCTTAGCCATCTAAAAAAGGTGTCAGATGTAATCTGACATGAAACTATTAATTTCTTTACCCATAAGATCAGTAAGAAGTATTCCAAATAAGTCAACACTGTGATGAAATGACAACCAAACATTATTTTATCTCACGCCCCATGATTTTAAGGACAAACCAAGCATTTGAAAACAGAAGGACCTAAACTGTGCTAACTCCTTGTATTTTCATTTGCAAATACCAATAAATACTTGATAAACATCTGATGGATGACAGATTACATGTCTAATCTTCATTTATCAATCTCAGATACAAGGCCAATTGTATACATTTCTAATTAAATAGAATGCTTTGTCTTACAGTCAGAAATAGTTAAAACAAACAAAAAAAAAACTAAATATTACTCCAAGTCCTATATTAAGTAAGTTAGTAACTTCTCCTTAATTTGAGGTTTAGGTTTACTACATTTATATTTTCTTGCAATAGACCATTCCTAATAACATTTTATGATATCCATGTTACGTCTTAAAATGACTTTGGGTCAAATACCAAAACAGTGCTGAGGAGTAAGACAACAAAGCCATGAAGGAGGGCCAATTATCTGCTTATATAGCTAACTAGAAACTAGAACACAGGCCCTGGAGTAACAGGACCATCAAGTCACCTGTTTACAATGTGTCTTCCACAGTTCCTATCAAAGAGGTTTGTAAGGAATTCAATACTCCCATGTTTGCTAACTGATTTTCAATGGGGCTGACATGAAATGAATATATCTATCATAAATAAGGCAAAGCAAGAGTATCCCTTTCTATTTCTGTACCTATCTCCTACAAAACTTTTTGCTCTCTTTTAACCTTGCATGTTTAAAGTGTTTACGTTAAAGCTTTGCTTTTTCAGACTACAGGGTTCAGTGTTCCCCTTCTGCATAAAAACCACCTACTAGAGAGCAGGACTATGGATCACAGAAAAGTCCTACTTAGGTTAAAAAGGAGAAAAACAAATCTAAATGATCACCATCATTGTCATCATCTCTAGACAAAGATTGGGAATTTACATTTTAAAATATCAGTGACCACAATTTGAGATGCAGGATGTTGAGGCATACTAAAAACCCCAGTTGTCTGGGCCAGCGCTGTGGCACAGCGGGTGAAATAAAATTGATCAGATTTGTGAACTGGAAGACCACGCCTTCACCACACCCCTATGTGGCCTCATGCCCCTACCTGATGCCTTTGCCATGCCCCTGTGTGGCCTCATCCCCTACCTGGCCACACCTGGGTGCCCACCAGCCAATCAGGTTAATTAACCACTCCCCTTTGGCAATGGGTTAAAAGCTGGGCCACGGTGTGGCCCGGCCTGCTCTTCTTCCCTGGCCTCTTGCCAGGACAGGGCTTGCTATAGCTCTGTGCCTCCAGGGCACATGGCCATGTGCTCTAGGCTTCCTGGCCTAGATGCTCATCCACATGGCTGGTTCCTGGTGCTTGGTATAACTCCTATTCACCTCTCTCCCCTAAATAAAGCTCTCACTTTCCTATGCATCTTTCTCACTAAATAAAAGCTTAAAATGTACCATGCTGCCTCGTTTATCTGTGCCAGTATTTAGAATTCTTCTCTAAATATTAGGCAAGAACCCTCTAGGGCTTATTAATATTGAGGATTTAGTAATAAGCCCGTGGTGAAATCGTAAGGCACCCCAAATTCCAGTAGCGCATGTGGCACCCTGGATAGCATTTCTAGGGAACTTTAAGGGGCCACATTTCAGGGTAAATTTTAGGGGGTCTTGTCCGATTTCAGCTCGGCTGCTCCACTTCTGATCCAGCTCTCTGCTGTGGCCTGGGAAAGCAGTAGAACATGGCCCAAGTCCTTGGGCCCCTGCACCCACGTGGGAAGACTGGAAGAAGCTCCTGGCTCCTGGCTTTGAGTCAGCACAGCTCTGACCATTGTGGCCAATTGGGGAATGAACCATCGGATGGAAAACACCTCTCTCTCTCTCTGCCTCTCCTCTCTGTGTATAACTCTGATTTTCAAATAAAATAAATAGCTCTTAAAAAAAAAAAAAAAAGAACAATTCCAAAACATCTGGGTTCACACAATTCTGCATCTTCTATTTAGCAGTTAACCTTCACTCTTCTACTCTGAAAATTTCTCATGATCAGCAAATAATATTGTGACGGAAATAAATTTGGATTCCAAATTTAAGCTCCATCACTCACTGCATGATTTTTCAGAGCAGTTTCCCATGTGTAAAACAGGGAAACAGACAATAATATCATGGGATCATGTGACGATGAAGTAAAATAATGTTAAACTAATAGCACAGTATAGTAGGTGCTCAGTGATGCTGATTCCTGCCATCTAAAATTATTTTATTAAGGCATATTAGTCTCTAAATATAAATAGCTAAATGGTCATATTAAGTTGTTAGAATGTGGTACCTCAAAATAAAAAATCAATATGTAAACAGAAAAGAATATGTGGAAATAGAAGTACAAAACAACCACATACTGTTAAACTGAAAAGAAAAAAAAAAAGATTCACAACTGTTTCTACCTGTCTCCTGGCAACCAGTAAAAACTAAAAAGCTACAGCCTTACTCTCATTTCCTACCCTCATTTTATTGTTTGCTTTTGTTATTTAAATCTAAAATAACCAAAATAGTAAACAGAAAGTAACAGTTTGTGAATCTGACTAGAGTATACTTTTGCTGCTCTACCAAATCCTCATTCCATTGCTGTCCAAAATCAAACATTAATAACCATCTAATGAATGCAAGTCATTATGGATGACATGACAAATGCTAAGACTCTCACAACAGGACTAAGGTATCACAATCTAGTTGGGGAAGTGAAACCACATACCCTCTCCAGACTATAGGTAACCGGGAAAGCCTCCAGAGAACAGTAGCTGAAATCCATCTTGAAGAATTAGAATGCTGACCACAAGAAAGAAAGAAGCATTTTCCAGAATAAAAGAGAGAACACATTAAGGCACAGACTCAAGGGTTTGTGCTCAGATTGAGGCAGGAAGAATACAAAAAGGGACTCCGTGGAGAATGCATCAGGCAGATTACCATCCCATGGCTTGTATTAAATTCCAGCAACTACAGGAGCCGGTGCTGAGGTGCAGAGGGTTAGGCCACCATCTGCAATGCTGGCATCCCATATGGGTGCTGCTGGTTCGAGTCCCGGCTACTCCACTTCCAATCCAGCCCCCTGCTAATGGTTTGGAAAAGTAGCGGAAGATGCTGCAAGTCCTTGGGCCCCTACACTCATGTGGGAGACCTGGGAGAATCTCCTGGCTCCTGGCTTCAGCCTTTACAGAAGTCCAAAATTCCTTATCTGAAAGTGTTGGGACCAGTCACATTTCAGGGCACAAACTGTTTTGGATATTCATAAAAGCTAACACAACACTCATTGCACAACACCTCTATTTGGGTT